GGATACTGACTTCACACGATGAGTAAATTCCCGACTATATCACAAAATAATATGTATGATTCTATTAGGGGAAAGAAAGGAAAGGTGGATAGAGCATATGTACAACATACCAAACAGGAAAAGACAGCCTGTTAAAATATGTGAAGAGCCACGGTGTTTACTTGAAGGAAACTACATTTATGTTGTGTTTGGATGATGAGTTTAGACTACATAAATAAGAGATGTGCTACAAAACATATAGATGGATTTCCAATGACTAGATGCAATACACTGAGAGGGATTTATAAATGACTACTTTGAAGGAGTAATTTGAAAATCCTTTGTTTAGTGGCTTTTTAATGCTCATGTATTGCATTTTCAATCCCTTTATCTAAATGTTTTGTAGTGCATTTCTAACTAATTTAGCCTAAATCCTGCATCTGAACAGAACGTTAGATGTCAATGTGCTCAAGGTTCGGAGATTCATTTCCCATGAATGGTACTGACAGTTGGAAAAAGGGTGAAGATAAGCGCCAAACTCCAAGAATTAATTATCCGAGCACAGAAATATATTTCCATTTCAAAAGCTCGATCTAAAGAGCAATTATTCAGAATCAAAAGTATGGCAATTTAACAATCAAGATTTCATAATGAAGCACACAGCTTGCCTGTGCACATTAAAAGTATTGATACATAAGAAAAGGAAAATTAACTAAGAGAACAAAAGGCATGCGCGATACCATCCTAATGCAAGAATCAAACCTTATCTACTGTCCTCTCGTGCTTACCCCCTAATCATTTTAAAAAAGTACCACCTTAGGTAATTTATAGTTGATCTATCTTTCAAAGGACTTTCAATACAATCATCTTCAAAAGACGCTTACAACCAAAAGAGTGAAATGAAGAGGAAATCTTCACTTCATCCAAAGCTGAAAGCCTGAAATACACTGATAAATTGAAAAACTAAAAATTTGAAAAATCCCTACTCAGTTATGATATCGGATGGTTTAGAACCTATAACACATTCTACGCAACTAACCAAAAGAATTCAACCCAGAAACCTAGTTTACTCTTAAATACTAAACAGGCTATTTGAAGTTCGCGATGTTTTGGCTAGGTAAGAGCTTAAAAAAAATTTAACTAAATTTGATGTGGATAGTGGTATGTTTCACACCAATCCATTCAAAGGCTGACTTGCACCTAAGTACAAATACAAATCCTTGGAACTTGTTTAGTTGGTCTAGCAACCTTATTAGAGAGCATTTAGACAGCACAACAGCACTTGGTGAATGGCCCAATGAGGGAACTCAACAATCCAGCACATTCCCAAGCCCAAAGTATTTATTATGGAGGCAGACAGGACAGCTTCTGCACTTGCATGAGTATCATGCATCTCCTATAGTTAAGGTAACCGTAAAAAAGAAATTGGCCCACTTCAGAAACAATCAATTGTATTTTTGTTGTGAGTACAAACCATCAGTCATTCTGTTAATTTCAATACATTCCAAAGAGAACAGTCTTGTGTATGTTCATCAATAAAAGAGGGGAGAGAGATAGTTGCTTAAATGACATCGATCGGGTTTATTTTGTGGACGTTATATAAGGAATGCAACTTGATGCCAAAAAGTTTCTAAAGTGATCTTGATAATAACAGTATATATGGACAAGTATTAAGTTGGTATTAGGGATGTCTGTCTTATTTAACACTTTAAATCATGTCCCCACAGTTGAATTTTTTTTTACTTGTAGAATAAGCTAAACTTCCAAGAGTCATAGTTAAGTAGCCTAAAACTTTCTTGTTTTTTCCTCAAAACCTCTCTCATATGCAACATTGTGAAACTTGCTCTATAATTGCAGAGGCTGATAACAACGTTTATAGATCAGCGTCAAACAACAAGCATGGTAACCAAAACCTGTTAAAAACATTGAACAGTTGACCAGATCATTTGTGATTTATAAACACTGAAAATCCTATCTTGCAATAATTTCCCTTACAATATCCATGTATGGGTCTAAAAATTGAAACTTTTGTAGTCAACTAAACTTGTACACATTTAGAATCATATAAACATTCCATATTTTATCTCAATCTTCGATATCCATTTTAGTGGCATTGTTGTACAGATAGCAGCAAGCAGAGTTCTTCGACATCCTCAAATTTCTAACTAATAATTATAGCATAGTAAAGAAGTTGCAAACTTTAGATACAATTGACCAAACAGAAAACCCTCAGTCAAAAATAGCAGATTAGGAAGGTTTTCGGTTTTCAATACGCAAAATTAGCAGGACGAATACATTCAGTACGAGGCAAAGATTATGCACTAAAAACAAGAAATTGGATCAAACGATTATGAAGAAACTCACTGTATGCCACTGCAAGTCATGCAAACGAAAGTCCAAAAATTTGTGCAGACGTATTGAGGACCCTGCATGTACAAACCAAATTACATTAAATAAAATCCTCCAGCATGCGAAAAACAAAATAAAAACCCGAAGAAATTCGAGAAAACAAGAGAGAGGGAAGAGTACCAGGCCATTACAGTTGATGCATCGCCGATTCGGAGGGAGCTTCATGAGGCCCCGAATAATCTTCTCGTTTCGCTCTTCCTCTTTTCTGCTTCCCATTTCTGAAACAAAATCAAAACCCTAGAACCAGAAGAAGCAGAAGAAAACAAAGAACGGAATCGGAGGGTGGATTTGAACTGCGCTCCTCCCTCCTCTCTCTCTTTCCTCTCTCTCTCTCTCTCCTCCCTCTCTTTCTCTCTCTAGAAGGAACAAGGAAGGAAGGAAGGAGAAGGCTTTAGGGTTGGTTCGGTTGGGGTTTTTTGAATTTGGGAGAGAGGGGAACGGAACTCTGGAATCTGAATCTGCTGCTTTCGAGGACTGGACAGCAAGCGCTCGCGGCCTTTCCTTTATAAATTTTAATTTTTTTTATTTTTATTGGCATTTGTAAAAGATTAATAATTAATTAATAAATAAATATCCAAGTAAATAAACGATCAAGGTTCAAACAAACGCACCCAGCTCATAAAGGTGCATTCAATTAAAAAAACTTCAACAATTTCGTTCTTATTTTCGCACGCTTATTTTCTCCTTCTAATTGCTGTATGTACGTTTGTAATAATAATTTTAAGAAAAATAATTAATCTGCCTAGTAATAGTGAGAAGTTTTTCATCATGGTTGTATTTTCATATAGCAATACTAGAATAGTGTTAGTAGCCAATCAAATATAAACGTGTTGAATGTTAATATGATTTCGTCATTGGAGATTGAATGGTGAATGAGACGATTTTTTAGAACAGAGTTAGAAACTTTCTTTAACATGAGCGGCCTTAATCTCTAGTTATACTTGAGAAATCAAATTCATGATGGTAAATATCTTCTACAACTTTCATTGCTTTTTTTTTTTTTTTTTTTTTCACATGTGGCCTATTTTGTTTCAAATTTGATGGTGGCCTAGCTGACTTTTGAAAAGTTACCCTAACGGTCGAATGTCAATTCATGATTTATTCTTACTTCTACTTTTTTTTTTTGTTTGGCCAAATTCCTACTTCTACCTTAGTTGTTCAATACATTTCTATACAAATAAGTTATATATCCAAATAAGTAAAAGCATTTATCTCCGCATCCATGGTAACTATTTACGTCACTATTTGGTAAATAAAAGAATAATTGGTAAAATATGCAACGTGTATGTGTTTGAAAAATACATAGGTGTATTATTCAGCAACTTTATTTAAAAAATATTTTAAAAATTTGGCCATTTTTTCCTAAACTTAAATATAAATTTTATCAAAAAATATTACATAGGTGTATTATCTAGTACCTTTGTCAAAAAGATATTTTTACAATTTTCTTTTATTTTTTTTTATTAATTGTAAGCATAAAAGACATAAACTTTATGCATATTATGAAAAAGAAAAAAAGTTTTAACGAAACACTTCTGAATGCGCGTTAAACATGAAAATATGTTTGCACGTGTATGAGTTTAAAAAAAAAAAAGTATGTTTAAAATATGTCCTTACCTATATTACCACCTCCAATGGTGGGCTAAATGTTAAATTACCCCCCCAAACCATCTCCAACCCATGCTAAAACATTGGGCTAAATGTCAAATGTTAAAGTTGGGCCAAATACCCCCCCCCCGCGCGACTGGACTCGCTGGCCTTTGGGCCAGTCTCGGCCCGTTCACTCGCCAACGCGCCCCACGCGGAGCGCATGCAGTCCGTTCCCGACAGGGTGGGCCCCGCTGTCAGCGGGTTGTAGCCCACCCAGACCACCTCCAACGGCTACATTTTCCATCCAACGACTGCTTTTCAAGGACCATTGGTTGATCCAACGGTTCAGATTCAAATTTGATTTTTTAAAATATGTTATTTTAAAATACATTGAATCCAACGGCTGAGATCAAATATAATCAAATCTAACGGTAAAAAAAAAATCTAACGGCCCAAATTTAAATTTAACGGTTAAAATAATTAAAAAAAAATATTTAACTCAAAATTCACTCAAAAACTCTATAAATACCTATGTATTTATTCAAACATCCACACAAAACTCAAATTTCTCTTACAATTCTTCCAATTTATCTTTCTACCATTTCTTTCCATTTCCAAATTGTTCAACATGGTAAGAGAGTATATTAGAGGTCGTAATTGGTAAAAGTTGACGGCTTGCTTTGTGGAAAATTTAGTGATTTTTCAATATTATCGGAATTTAAATTTTTTTAGATTCAAATGTTCATAAAATTAATTTACGACAGTCTACATATTTATTTTTTTTTTTAAATTTAATTTAAGAAAAAAAATAGCCTAAGTTCATTCTTTAATAATCCCTGGCTAAAATTTAGGCTAGAACAGTTGGAGTAGAAAAGTTAATTTCTGGGCTAAAAGATAAATTTTCCGGTTAAAATATTTGGCTTTTAGCGCAAACCATTGAAGATGGTCTAAGATGTGAATTTACTAATTATCATTCAAATTTATAAATAATAAAAACTATGAAAATAATAAAATAAAAGGAAAGAAAATAGAGAAATATTTCTCAAAGAAAAAAAGAATAAAAAATACAAAGCGTACGATCAGCCAACTAAAAACCCCACCGGACGGTTGGAAATCGATCTCGAACCTTTTCATTACCCTTCACCCACACTCAATATCGCCACCCCTTATCCCTCGCCCCCTCTCGCAACCTCTCCAATGGCCAACGTCTTCCGAACTTCACCTTTCTCGGCGCCAATTGCACCGCCGCCCTCCGCCGCCTCGCCCAATTCTAGAAAACGTTCGTCCGTTTCGTTTCGGCTAAATCAAACCAGCGGCAACAGCACGCCTTATCTCACTGTAAGCTCCCTCCGGTTTTCTCACTTGCCATCCCTCCGGTTCGTCAAGTTCGCACCTTTGGCTTCACAAGGTGAGACCGAGACGGCTGAGACGGTGGAGAAGGAAGTTCAGGAGGGCGAAGAAGTCGAGGTATTGTTTACTTATTTTTTTTGTGAATTTGGTTTATCAGCAAACTAGAAAGCAAACTAGCATGAGATTATATTTTATTTATTTATTTATGACCAATTGGAGAATGTTTAGGGAAGTGATTTCTGCGCACCGTTTTACTTCCTTGCATATCTTGTTTGTTTCTGACCTTTGGATTGAATAAATCAAAGGAGAGTGAAGGGAAGAAGAAAGACGGTGTGCGGAAATCATTTCTCATGTTTTGTGAACAAGTGATGAAAGTTGAAGGCTTAGCTTATTTCATAATGTACTGAACAAATTACACTAGGATTTCTGATGTTTGTAACGGAAGGGAATTGAACCCTTGACCTTATTAATCCTAACCCATTTCCCTTACCTCTCCACTTGATTTACTCCAAAAGCGGAGGCCGGGATCCCTTTTGTGTTCACATTGGTGTATTTGTTTAAGAGTTCGGGGAGAGTGTTATCATGTCTTTCTTGTTATGTACTTTTAGCTGGAAAGTATGGTGCTTTTTGGTATTGGTTGCTGCGGCACCTAAGAGTACTTGGAGCTAACAGAAGACTTGACTCAAAATCAAGCTCAGTGGCTTTCTAGGATTCATATAGGCGTCCCCACTCAATGGGATAAGGCTTTGTTGTTGTTGTTGTTGTTGTAAAAAAGGGATTGTGTGACAACAAGGACATAGCGCAAGGCATTCCATGTGTAACAAGGCTATTTTGGACCCTAGATTTTGTCTGACAAGAAACATATAGAAATATATAGAACCAAGATTCTAAAAGACGCTAGGCGCTAGTTTGATGGCGAACTAGGGCCTAGGTAGACTAGGCCGATTTAAGTAAACATATTATATATATCATATGAATAAGTGTGTTTATTCGACAAAAAAAAAAGTGTGTTTATACTTGAAAATACATAATTGTGTTGGTATACGTAATTGAAAAATAAAATGACATATAGATTAGAAAGTATTAGGACATATTGAAAACATGAGGAACCAGAATATATCGAGTGTTCATCCAAGTATTCAACAAGTCTCTTACCATTTATTGAAAAAAATAAAATGCAAAATAAAAGTTATCTATTTTTTGTCCAAGTGAGAGTCACGACCTAAATAGGTGCCTGGGTGGGTCTAGGTGCCTAGACGGGCGCCTAAGCAGGTCTAGGCGCCCTTTCTTAATTTTCGAATGTCTAGGGATTAATTGGAGCAGTGGCTAACCGCCTGGTGCCTAGGTGGCCTTAGGCGGGGATTTTTATAACAATGTATAGAACTAGTTGGAAAAGTATCACTTTTTTGGTCTAATGGAAAAAGTATTAGTTATCATTCAAGCACAAAGTCAATCCTAGAACCGTTAATACTCAAATTTTCAGGGCCTGTCACTCTAAGTTCGGTTTCCATCTCCTAGATTCTACTTCTTTAAAACTCATTCAGTTCAGTTTGATGATTCACTGTGTATCCTTCAGCTCTTTGTGCTTGTTTATTAGAAAAAGATTGAGCATTGGCTGATGCTTTTCCTTACTTCAATCCGCAGTTCACATGGATTCTCTTTAAGTGATGGTTTTCATGTTTTAAATCAGTTTGTAAGATTGCACAGTCATCTTGGACTCTTAGGGCTCGTTTGGTTGAAAGGATTGGATTGGAAGGGATAATTTCTCTAAATTCAAGGCATATTGAAAGTAGATTAGAATGATTTTGATTGTGAGGAAATTAGAGAGGATTAGATTGAAGGAAAATTTGTGAAAAACATGTTCATTTAAGCAACATCAATAGCATGCAATTAACAATTAAAGGCGGAATCATGCTTGTATGCACTTAAAACAAAACATTTACCCATGAAATTCAAAGCCTAGTAGATAGGTGAATCAAGACTCAACTCAAAACAAAGTGAGTTGAGAAATCAATACCTTTGTAGATTCCTCTTTGCATAAGCAAAGGCTAATCACCCAAAGAGAGGGCCTTCATTCCTTGCATCTTAGATCCATGGATTTGGATGGATGAAAAGGTTTCTCCAAGTTCCCAAAATTGAGAACCTCTAAGTCTCCACACCAAGGTATATTGTAGAAGAAATGAGTGACCTAGAGGAAGTAAGATTGCTAGCTATTCCCCTCTAGATTGGCCAAAATTTTAGAGAGAAAGGAGAGCTTGTGTTCTCATCCTTTCCCCCAAAAATAACCCTTAGTAAATTTTAGGCTATAAAGTCCTTTATATAGTCTCTTCAAATAAGTGACCTAATGGACCAAAAGCCCTATTCTTTTACACATGGCTAGCCTATAGGTTTATTGGGCTTTCAAGCCCTTTGTTTTATTCAAGTTGTCATACAACTTGAGTTAATGGACTTGACATTCAAATCCCATTGGGCCTTGCGGCCCAAAACTAACCCGAGGTCTTTAACGAACTTATTCGTTTGATTAATTAGCATATTAATTAATCCTAGCCTTAGATAAATAATTAAACCATTTAATTATTTTTACTCATCTCCGTTGTTTCTTCAAACTCTACCTTACACGGTGTACGATCCATTAGGTTCCTTTTAGCGAGGCAGTGGGCGATTCAAACTCTTTCAAATCGATTGTGAATTGAAACTTACTTTCAATTCTCCCGTTAGTGATAATACACTTTTAGGGCTTCCACAAACCATGAGTGACACCTAGCAGCATATCATGGTTACCCAAGCTAATCAGAAGAGGTGGAGAACCTATTCAGTTTAGGATTACAAATGCAATACGGTCTTTCTCTAATACAATACTCTTGACCACATTGTTTGGTTTGATAGTTTATTCATGTCTACTATCCAATGTGAATCTTGTACTTATATGATTACCTTGAATGTGATCTGGAACGCATTCCAACATCTCATTCATACTCTGGCCAGAGATTCTAAATCATATCATAGAGTATTCTCCCTCAAACAGTTTGAAGGTTAGAGATCCCTTGTTGCGCATTCACTTGCCTCCATGGCTAAGTGGCTTAACCCCAACGATGCCGTGGACACCCTGATAGAGTGACGTTGACATAATCAAAGATTAAGGATCTAACCACAAGACAACTGTGATGCCTCAGGTCAAAAGACTAATTTGCATTATCCCAACCATGAGTTCTCATGTGACATGAATATGAGAACTCTTCGTTGATCGTGTTCAGTAACTCATTTCTCTATTGAGCACCTACGTACTTGTCTTGATGTCACACACACCAATGACTCGAGACTAGTCACTCTCCCTGAGAGAAGACATAGCACGTACTGATCTTAACGGACTGTCAATGCCCAATTGACAATCCTATGATCAGGAACGTTTAGGATGTGTCAACGAAAGAATGGTCTCATGAATCTAACTTCTTTAGATCGCATTCTTCCAATCACATATTCCTTGGACTTATCGTTTAAGCATATAACATTTATATTAGACGGCTCAAACAATAATCTTTGCCCTTTACATTTAAACTACATTAGTTTGAAATGAACTACATTAGTTTGAAATGTCCGTAAAATATCATCATATGATTGGTTTTAGGGCACATTTCCAACATAGATATGAAGAAAACTTCTCCCATCTCATCCTCCCTTTTTGGGGAGGATTGGAATGGATAACTTTTCTTCATGAGTAATCCTTCTCCTACCTCTAAGTTGGTCACAATTTTTCATTTCTTCTTTCAACATACCTTCAAAATAGTGCCTTATCTATTCCAATCCAATCATGTGTACAAACAAGGCCTTATACTCGTGAGCTTTGAAGACTAAGAGGATTTTTTTTTTTTTCTCACTATTAATATTTTCATGTGTTCTCGGGCATATAGCATGACATCCACATGATGCTAGGATGATGATGAGGGCTGTGATTCTCTATGCATAGTGAGTCGTGTTACCAAGAATATTCTATATATGTATATGTATTTGTATATTTGTATATCTCTTAAAAACGAAGCTTTCATCCTGAGGTTTCTGGCAGATTACTTACTTTTGGCACAGTGTAAAAGATGAAAGATTATATGTGCATCACGTACTACAATTCTTGTATAATTATGAAGTCTCTATTTTCCACACTTCTCAAGGCATTTGGTTTTCTATATTTGCTTACAGTTCCCTACTGTTCTTTCTTTTTCTAATAGTTTTATGGAACAGGACTCTTTAGATGGTGCAATTCCTGTGGAAGATAGTACAAGTGATGGTGAAGAAAGTGGTTCGACTGATGATGGTGAAGGTGATACTGAGGAAAAATCTGTTTCCACCATCACAGCGTCACTCCAACTATACAAAGAAGCTTTAGCCAGTAATGATGAATCAAAAGTCGCTGAAATAGGTTCTTTCCTAAAATCTTTTGAAGATGAAAAAATAGGACTTGAAATGAAGGTGGCTTCTTTGTCTGAAGAACTGTCAGCAGAAAAGGTTCGGATTCTGAGAATAAGTGCAGATTTTGACAATTTCCGGAAAAGGACAGAAAGGGAACGCATTTCTCTCGTAACAAATGCTCAAGGGGAAGTTGTGGAGAGTTTGTTGCCTGTAGTGGATAATTTTGAGAGGGCAAAAAGCCAGATTAAGGTGGAGGTAGAGGGAGAGGAGAAGATCAACAATAGCTACCAGAGCATTTATAAACAGTTTGGAGAGATTTTAAACTCTCTTGGTGTTGTCCCTGTTGAGTTGGTTGGAAAACCCTTTGATCCATTGGTAAGTCGTTCAAACTTCATGGTTATGCATAGGTGAAAGACTTATTAGCATAGGAAAACATTCAGCGTTGGACATTTTCCTTTATTTTCTCAGTCTATATTCTATAATAAAGAATCCACTTTAGTTATAAGTAGTTGTTGAAGAGAAAGACAATAGAATTGCATACTTGTAACCATAAATTCACATTTAATCCTTTTACTGGACGCAACAATTACAGTAAGGCATATGATTTCCTGACAAACACTATGTCTTGGTGATCAATAAGTTCATGTGTGGAATTGTGCTGTTTTGTTGGTTGACAAAATGACTTGTGTCTTATGGTTGGCTTTATGCAGGCAAGAAACCAAGTTGGCTCGAAATTCAATCAGTTACTTGATGATTATTATCAAGTAGTTAGTCGATTTTGTTCAGGTTTGATGAAGACCTGGATACGGTTTTAAGTCAGACCAAATCATGATTGAATCGAGCCAATTTGGTGAGTTCATGAGAGTGAAAACTACATGTGGCCTATTTTGCATTAGTAGATTGAACATGTAACATCAAAGTTACTGAATCGTTAAATGCTGTGATCGTTTGATGTCACACTCAGTATGCAGTCTTTAAATGTATAAGGCAAAAAGAATTTATGCAATTTCTAACCTTGAAACGTGCAATTTTCTTGAACAGTTGCATGAAGCAATCATGCGTGAGGACTCTTCAGAATACGAAGAAGGTATTATAATTGATGAATTTCGCAAGGGGTTTAAGCTCGGTGACAGGCTTTTGCGGCCGTCAATGGTAAAGGTATCGGCTGGTCCAGGGCCTGCCAAGGTAGAGCAGGAAGTACCTCCATCTGAGGAACAGGATGCAAGTGAAACCACCGAGAAGGGAACCGAGTCAGCTTAAAGACCAAATATTGAGTCTAGTTCAGTTTTGCAAAAGAAATAGTAACTTCAATTGTACTTCAATCAGTAGGGTAGTAATTGTTGGTGGGTGTGGCTGTTTCTGGTGGCATATTACTGCCAATTTTCTTTTCTACTGAGAGAACTATACTGCTTTTGAGCGAACCATCGGACAAAGCGAGTGCACGGTAACTTCTGTGTAGTGATTTGGATGTCCTTGAATGTTTAGTGCCTACCACATTATCAAATCATCAGTTGGAGTATCTGTTTCTTTTTCGTGATCAGTTACATTATGTACTACTTCAAGTTCATGCAGTCTTGAAATGTATTAACCTCACAGACTTCAACATGTTTTAAACAGCTCGTGGATGTAAAAGTCCGCTAAAATTCGGACGAACTTTGCCACGGCAAAGTTTCTCGGCAATGGAGTTCATCTAGGGTTACAAACTTTCCGGTAAGAATTTATGTTTGTTTTGGGTTTTCCTAGTGGTCTATGGTAGGGTTTAGGGTTTAGGGTTTAGTTATCCTTCTTTCGTTATGGTTGTTTTGCAATGAATGTTGGGTAATATTCTGCGTGGAATTGCTAGGTGCTTTTCCATAAAGCACATCCAAGTACTTTTTCACGAAATACTTGGACTTTTAATTAAACATTTCAAACATGTTTCTTGTAGCAAAAACGTTTCTATCATGTTTCTAGAAACGCTTGGTAGCAGAAACATGAAAAATGTTAAAGAGTTTATCAACGCTCTTCTTCCAATCCTAACTTTTGTTTTTCGTATCACGTGTTTTATTTTGTTCTTTTAATTTATTTAATTCAAAGTTCATAAATAAACGTAAGTGTGAAAATCGCATCTCATCATGATTTGTTAAGTGCATTAAGAGCATTTCCTTTGTTTGGTAAAAAAAAGAATCTTGAAAAGTCTGCAACATAATGAACTTTTGCCAACGGTAGGGCATGTTGAATTGTGTTCGGCTAAACTACGAGTCAAGGTAAACAACGGGTCAAAATGATTTGATAAAAATTGAGAGTGTTTTTATTTTATTTTATTCTTATTTAACAGAGATATTTCATGGAAATACTAAAATAATTGACGGTGGACAAACTCAGGGACCAGTTCTATCGATTTTAAATCTCAGTGACTAAAGTGAAGAGATATGCTAATCTTAGAATCCTTTTGGCTAAAAAAAAAACATAAATTAAATGTGAAATTCTCAAGTAGCTATGATTGAGCTAAATGACTAAAACCTGACCCTTCCATTGTGGCCAGGTAGGACCTAGACGGTTTTTTCCTAGATTTTCAAGGTAGAATTTCTTCTATGACAATGTTCATCACTAATTTAAGAACATAATATGTTGAAGAATGTAAAGTTTCACATTATTTTTAATTAAATACAGTTTACGTTAATTGGTTTTTGCTGCTAAGTGAATCGAACCTTTTGTAAACATAAGGCATACTAAATTGCACTAATGATTAAGTTGGAAACAATCATTGAAGGTTTTTTTATTTTTTTTTTGTCGAAAATAAAACTTTATTAATGAAAGGGGAAATACAATTTGCTAAATAGGCCTAAGCCTAAACAAAACACAGAACTCTATACAAATCCAAGACACAAAAGGATGTCTAAATAAAGCAATACATAAAATAGAAGACAAACTACAATCCAAGACACAAAAGGATGTCTACACAAATTTAGGCTCACAAGCAACAAAAGAAAAACAATAATAAAGCCCTAATCTCCAGCAGCAAAACACCAGTAACCACCGTCGCTACCTCTGCGAAGAAAGATATCACCCCAAATTGGAAAAAAAAAAAGAAATACACCCAAACCAAAAGTTAGACTGAGAGTATTGCGCAAAACCAATCCATTAACAATTATAGCCCCCACAATCACACATGCGAGAAAAGTCGCATAGTGTAACAAAAGGAGGGGAGGATGAAGGACAAACATTGATGTTGATGTTGATTAGAATCTTTATATATAAAGCCAACAACTCCTTTTGGGGTCACAATCTTCATCAAAAATAAGTGGACAAAAATGCCCCTTAAATAAAAAACTTCAAAAACAACCCAAAATAATGCATCAAATGTGGCATGAGTATTTTCAGTCATTTTAACAGTATTTTTTTAATAATTAATTTTTTTATTTATTTATTTTTATTTTATAATTAGTACCTCAATGGGCTAGCAATAATGTGATTCAATCAGTTGTTTATTAAATATTATTTCTCTATTCTTAATGTAAATTCAATAAAAATCGATTTTATTATGTGAATTCAGCTCTTTTGATTGGTTTATGAGAGGTTTCTTCTAGCATGATTTAAGATTATTCATTTACTTCAAATATTTGACTTTTCCTTTGTCAATTTACGCATATAAATACATTTAAAATATGTAAGTCGCATGTAACAAGTCGTGACTCGAAAAATATGTACAATAATAAAGTTGTACCAACAGCTGGACAATAATAGAGTTGTACAATCTGCAAGGGCGCACTATCTAAAGAGCACGATGGTCCACAATTTAATTTCTTTTGATTTTGTGGTTCATGTGTTAAAAAAGAATGAGATCCCAATTTTTGAAACTACACAATCTTAAAATTTTTTAGTGCTATGTAATTAATTGGTTAAAAAAATTTAAAAAAAAAAAGAAAAAAAAAAAGAGGACAAATAATAGTAAGTCACGGTTATCCATCATTTTCAAGTTCAAAGAGGCTATGGAAAGAATCGGGTTGGGTAGATCGGCATGGATTCATTTAGCTCCATGAAGAAGAAGAATCTTCAGGTGACAAGGAGGTGCAGAGAGAAATTACTCAAACCCTTTTGGATGGAATTGAATGTGTGAAGTTATTAAAATTTATGCAATTGAATTTTTTGAAATTAAATATTTGGTGAGAAGACTAAGATTTTGCATAGAAGCATTCGACACAACCCTCTTTTTTATATCAATTAATATTTTATTACCGTATAAAAAAATATTATTTAAGTTTGCTTATCTAGATTTAATACGAAGATTCATATGAAAAAAAACCTCCTGGGCAATTTAATTTTCAGGAGTGTACATATGTTTGTATAAATCAATTTCATGTCGGCAGAGCTGCCATGGGGACCTCTGCACACACACATAATCTATTCATTCAGTCATCAGCTCTGGAACCTCTCTGTAAAGTTCTCCTCCGCACACTCCACTACCTCTCTCTCTCTCTCTCATCTTCCCCATTCCCCCTTTTCATGGGAATCCAAGATAAAGTTCTCCTCCGCACACTCCACTCTCTCTCTCTCTCATCTTCCCCACCCCTTTTCATGGAATCCAAGATAAAGTTCTCCTCCGCACACTCCACTACCTCTCTCTCTCTCTCATCTTCCCCATTCCCCCTTTTCATGGGAATCCAAGATAAAGTTCTCCTCCGCACACTCCACTACCTCTCTCTCTCTCATCTTCCCCATTCCCCCTTTCATGGGAATCCAAGATAAAGTTCTCCTCCGCACACTCCACTACCTCTCTCCTCTCTCTCATCTTCCCCATTCCCCCTTTTCATGGGAATCCAAGATAAAGTTCTCCTCCGCACACTCCACTACCTCTCTCTCTCTCTCATCTTCCCCATTCCCCCTTTTCATGGGAATCCAAGATTTTGTGATCGTAATTTATTGTATTTCTTATATATACATACATATATATATATATATATAGAAAAGGATCTGTTGGGAATCCTTTCTTACGAATTCGAAGATTTTGTGATCGTGGTTGCTTATTATACTATATATTTAATTTTAAATTTCAAATAATTTTTAATCGTATGATAAATGATAAACGATTACTATCATGGAATGCTTGAGATCTCCAGAAAAAGAAGAGATTTTTTAATGTGACCAGAACATGAGGTGATATACCACGTGTTATTATACAAATGGTGAAATATAAGTGTTAAAAAATTAATTATTTAAAAAATAAAATTTTCTGTTACTTACATAAAAATATGTAGTATACTACTCGTATTCTCGTAACACTTAAAAATTTCTCTAGAAAAAAAATGTACCATGTACGATGAATAGCCAATAATTTCTCTGTAAAAATTTATTCATTCAGTCATCAGCTCAGGAACCTCTCTGTAAACTTCTTCTCCACACACTCCAGCTCTCTCTCTCTCTCTCTCTCTCTCTCTCTCTCTCTCCAGTTCTCTCTCTCTCTATCATCTTTTCCACTCCTCACTCTGTTAGTTCTATACAACTCACCCATCGCCTGGGGACTGAGTCTGACCTTGGGCTTTTCAGCTGCCAAGCAACTCCAGCATCTGTTCTGACCGAACTCAAAGTTGTAACTAAGGAGTTTGGAGAAAATAACAAGATGATCAAGGTTGAAGTAATTCACAAAGAAATTATTAAACCATCCTCTCCAACTCCTCACCACCTTAGACATTTGTGCCTCTCCCTTTTTGACCAGATTGTGCTTGAACTGCATCTGCCACAAGTTCTCTTCTATCCTAGCAGCAGTGATGAACATTCTTTGGTCGCTGAAAAGTCCGAGCTTCTAAAGAAATCATTATCTGAGGCCCTCACTATCTTCTACCCCTTTGCAGGGGAGTTCAAATATAACGTTTCCATCAACTGCGATGACCGCGGAGCTCTATTTCTTGAAGCCCAAGTCAACTGTCCCATGTCCAAGATCCTGGACAAAACCGATTCTGAGATCCTGAGACAACTGGTTCCAACACCTATGCGTTCCAAACAAGCACAAGTAGGGCATCTTGTAATAGTCCAGGCCAACGTATTCGAATGTGGTGGATTGGCAATTGGCGTCAACATTTCGCATAAGGTCGCCGATGCCGCAGCGTACAGCAAATTCATCGAAAGCTGGGCTCAAATTGCCCGCTGCACTGCCAGCACTACTGACCATCACGTAGTACTTCCTACAGAATTTGGTGTTGCAGCTACTTTGTTCCCACCACAAGAATTTTTTAACTCACCGAAGACCTCCCTCACGCTACCTTTTATTGACAAAGTTATCGGAAGGAGGCTTGTCTTTGATGCCTCAAAGATTGCTGCTCTCAAGGCCAAAGCTGCCAGTGCCACAGTGCCAAATCCGACGCGAGTTGAAGCAGTTTCCGCGCTCATTTGGAAATCCGCAACGGAAGCATCAAGATCGAACTTGGGTTTTGCAAGGCCATCCACATGGCGGTCCGCTGTGAACCTGAGGAAAATATTGGCTCAGCCCTTCGCAGAAAACTTACAAGGGAATTTTGTGTTTTTTACCATGCCGAAGATTGAAGAAAATGAAGTATATGATCTTCAAACCTTGGTTGCAAAAATGAGGAAAAGCGTTGAGGAACTTAGGGTAAAATATGCCAATGAAATTAGAGCGGAGGAAGTAGTTCAATTCGTGAAGGAGTATCGTAAACTCGTTAAAAAGGATGATATGGACAACTATTTTTGCACCAGTTTGTGTGGGTTTCCTTTCGGCTCGGCCAATTTTGGATGGGGAAAGGCATCATGCATACGTATCCCTTGGAATGAAGATTTCAAAAACTTTATGTTATTGTTGGACGCAAGTGATGGCATTGGAATCGATGCATACATAACACTGAAAAAAGAAGATATGGTCATGATTGAAACCAACCAGGACCTGCTTGCATATGCTTCTCTGCAAGAGATCATTACTGAAAGGTAAATCTCGTCTAATCCTTCTTTATAATTATTTAATAAATAAAAAGTTTGCTTACCTAAGTTATTGGAGACTCAAACTGTAAATATCTTTCAAATGTCAGAAAATAAAATACAACTAGACTAACAGCTAGTTACCCGCGTTCATTTAGATTTTGTTTGGATGCTATGTTGTAACCTTTGGTAATTTCTTTTGTTGCTTTTGATTCCACAATTTCCTTGTTTTGTGTGAACAGTGAGTAATGTATTGCTTTTACTATCGACTTTATTTTTCTTTCAATAAACTGGATTTGTTTTATTGCGTATACCAAAGAAAATATAGATCCCTAACAAAAGAAATTGAAAAGAGTGCTTGTGACAGCCCGTTTCAGATTTTCAAACCGTAGGGGTGAAATGACGATTTTGCCCCTATCATGGTTGTTTCGTTGTGTGGTTGTTTTTGGGATTTTTGTTGGCAGATTCTAGGCCACACACACACCCCCACACCTCCCTCACCCTTTCCCTGCCCTGCACCCCTGTCCCGAGTCCCCTCTCTCTCCCATTTCCATCCCCATTTGTACGAACACACCCCAAAACCCTCCAAATCTTCACAGATCGAGGAAACAAAGTACATATTCATGCTCGTGAGGTCCGTAGGAGTTCAACCATACCCATTTCAGGTAAGGATACCTTCGTTTTCACGTCGAACTCGGGATACCCCGATTTTGTCACTGTTCATGAACACGTTAATTCTCGTGTTTTTGGGAATTTCAAGCTTGTAGGAAGCTTGGTGAGGTCCTTAGGAGGCTCGGGGTGGTTCGTTTGAAGGTTTTGGACGTCGGGATCGTGAGTTTCAAGGTTGGCCGGAATTGGTGGTGTTTTCCCGGCGAGATTCCGTGGATTTTAGTGCTTAGTGCTTGAAAGTGGTATGGATTTGTTCCTCTTGTTGTAAGCTTCATTTTGGTACTAATTTTGTGAAATTTGGTTGAAAAATGAAGAAGATATGAAGTTTTGAAATTTTCATGATTTTCCGGCGCCGGCGACGGCGTCGGAGCCTCGCCGGAGAAGACGACGGAATATTCCGTCAATTTGGACGGAATATTCCTAACGGCATTAACGGAATCCGTTAAAGTTAACAGAATATTCCTGACGGCGTTAACTGAAGCCGTCAGTGTGTCAGGCACGTGCATGTGCGTGTGGCTGTGCCTTGGCCGGCGCGTGGGGGCGCGTGCGACGGTGGAAAATTTTTCTAAAAATATGGGGATGTTCCTGAGGTTGAGTAGATCACGTTGGTGTATTCATACACCCCATTTGAGATTTGTATGAGAAGTTATTTCATAAGGTTGGTTATGTGCTTTAAAATTAACGTTTTTATAGTTGTTTCGCATATAGGTGAGACCTATCCCGAAGACGAGCGCGGTCACTCGAGGCAAGAGGGTTACGACCCTTCTACATACCAGTGAGTGGGCTTTTGGTTTTCCGTATATACCTATATACTTATGTTTTTCCCAGAAAATGAATTGAAACATTTATACGTTTTTATGCCATGCTTATTGTTTGCCATTTATTTATACATTATTAGTTGCATATGTATATATAAGTTTGGTGCTGCGGACGCACAGGTAAGTGCTAGGTGAGTTATGATTTACGTTTATGTTCAGTAGTGATTTGAGATACATAGAGAGCTCATAACTTGCACCCCTGGTGTTAGTGCTCCCGCCCAGAGTTGGGCACAGTCCTTCACGTGATGTTCACCTCCCGCACCACACGCTCATCTTGGATCCAAGTTAGGTGCACAGTCCTGCCGTACATACCACTTTAGATGGTTCTGACTCGTAGGTGACCCGCGATTCGTCGCCCAGCCTTCACGTGATCGTAGCACTTGAGCGTATATATATTACACCCAGTCCTGTCGTACAGACCACTCTAGGTGGTTCCGACTCGTGTGCAGGTATAGTTAGTGAGATAGAGATTTGAACTCTAGATTTAGCCGTACAGGTCACGTTAGGTGACTCCGGCTGACAGCTTATATGACATTGATTTGACATTCCTGAGCACTTGCATTCTATTTAGAGACATTTGGCATGGCATATTCCTGAGCATGACTTATATATATGTATATTCTATTTTTTTAGGAAGTATACAGGTTTTACGACGAGGGGTTAGAATCTTGTTTTTGAAATTGAAAAGCTTTTTTTTTGCCCACTCACGCTTTTGTTTTACGCCCCTCCAGGTTCTAGTTGGCTAGCATTCTTGGTGGCTCCTCAGAGGATTTTCCCGGCATATCTGACAGATTATCACCAATGTATGACCACCTTTGGGTGTGTTTACGTATTGTTTTGTCTCCTGGACTGCATTAGGTCTTCGTGCTCTGAACTTTGTTTTCACACTTACACTTGCACATGTATGTTATTACTTTGTGTAAAGCTAATTTTTATCTATTCGTACTTTTATTATTATTTTATTTGCTTCCGCACTGTGCATATGGTTACGTCACTTCCACGTGACGACTAGCATGCCCTGATCTCGGTCGGGGTGTGTCAGTGCTGAGAATACTTTTCTATGAAAAAAAAAAAAAAAAAAAGACAGACAGACTAAGAATGCTTTCAAGTAATTTTTAAAACTATTTTTTATGTTTATCGGAAGGAACACAATGTTATAACACGTGGGATAATATAATGGATGATTGAGTTGATAAATTATATTTTAAGTAGGACTCATATAAAACGGGTTCACTGCCACTCGAAAACCCCAGTTGTAGAATGATGGCTCGAAACTTGTTGGATTTGGATCGAGAACGGCTCACAGTCACGAGGAAATTAGAGACTAGGATAGAGAAAAAGAAGGAGAAAGCGATGAATAAATAGTAAAGGGGGAAGATGAGTTGATGCCGTCAATTCTGCTTCGTCGTGAGGGAGGCTTGTGGGCAATGGGGGATCTAAGATTCAAAACTTCGGTGTCCCAACATTAAAGGTTCATGTTTTTTTGAAGAAACAAAGTGCAGAGCTTATAACAAGGCTGCGCCTCCGGCCAATTATGATCCTCAGCAGCAAGAAGGTGCTCCCGTCACAGGTTTCAGCTTTGCTAGATCTGACATGGATGTTTTGGGCTGAATTCCATCATCAACAGACACTTGTGCAAAGATGGAAATTAGCAGCGCGTAGTCTTTCACCACATAACTCCCTCAGCTTCCTTCCTTAAGCTATGCTCTGAGTCCTAATATCCATCCTTACTCCTTTTAGTCCAACTCCAGCACAAAAAGTCTCTGTGCTCTCGCTATCTCTAACGTGATTCCCTTCCCTTCCTTTGCTCTAACCAGCTGAGCTACCTGAACCACTTTCCTAAAGTATGTTTTCTTCACCCGTTAAGAAGTGGATTCGAACCACTGACACAAGGATTTTCAGTCCTCTGCTCTACCAAAACAGCTATCTAAACCACTTTCCAAAAATCTAATAAATAGAAGGAAAGGAGATCGTAAAGATATGTGGACGACTTGACTATAGTATAGGTCAAATACAACGCGCAACGGGCTCTCCGCTCCTAGTCACTAAATAGTGCTATTCTGTCCTCTGGGTAGTGGGTTTATTGACAAAACCTAACCATGTTGCCTATATGTCAACAAGTTACGATATATGCTGAAGCAATCTAATGAATGTTATCGAGAATATATATCGAGTGATGTTGATGCAATCTGTCGAGATATGCGTACGTACCAAACAATTGAAGGGTCTTCAAAGGACCTTCATGTGCATGTTTTCCACCCTCCAAGTGGTCCTAAGACCACTTTGGTTCCAATTTACATCCACCCTTACAGTGGGTGGAGTTCAAGAATTCTTGTTGTGGTGTGGTTTTTTTTGCTTATCCATTTTTGTTTCTTATATTTTGTTTACTTAAGTAAATGATCAAGGGTGTGCTATCCACACATCATTTTTTACTTTTCATATACCCTCTTAAATTTCGACCGTCGGATCAAATGAATTGAAAAAGATCAAATGACAAAAATTAATAAGAGATGTGTGAGAAGTAAAAAGGGGTGTGTGGATATCACACCCCAAATGACTAATGAGAAGTAAAAAGGGATGTGTGGATATCACACCCCAGATAACTAATGTTGATGTGGGAAAAATATGATTGGCTAATATCAGTTTGATGTCATTTAGTCATCACAATCTACTAATCTAGTCTTATCTAAGACTAATATCAAAGTATAGAAGTAAAGATAAGTATATGAAAAACATTCTCATCGTTATAAGTTAAAGGGAGCTAAATTAGTATTTGAGATTAGGATAACTCTCACTTTAGTTCTAATAATAAAAATGATCCGGTCGTGAAAATTATATTAATTTTTCGGAGAAAAATCTGTCAATCTTCTAGTAACATTTTTATGTAGTATTCACCGGAAAGAAAAAGAAGAAAGAAAGAATGTCATAACTCATAATCCCATCATAGCCAATTGCACCGCTGCCCTCCGCCGCCTCGCCCAACTCTAAAATACCTTTTTCGGCTAAGTCAAACCAGCAGCAGCACACCTTATCTCACTCCAAGCTCCCTTTGGTTCTCTCACTTGCCGTCCCTCCAGTTCGTCAAGTTCGCGCCTTTGGCTTCACAAGGATTTTTACTAAAGATTGTTTCATAAACATTTTCACTAAAAACGTTTTCAGTCATTTTAAAAGTACTTTCAAACGAGTCCTAAATTAAAAACTTTTCGTGTTGTAACCTTCCTTCTTCCCCTATTGTCTCTCTCATTGGCATCCCCTTCCTTTCTCCATCTCTCCCGATCGTTCAGTCCCCTTCTCTCCTCCTTCGTTTTTTGTTTTTTCCTTTTCGCATATGAATAAGGGAGAGGGACACGTTTCAAATTTTTCACAATCGTTGTAAAATTTTATTCGAAAAAAGCTTCATGCGTTCAAGAAGAGGAAATCTCAATTTTCAAATTTTTTTTTTGTGTTCTGTAATTAACGTGGTTTAAATATTATTAATAAAAGACCGGATAGAACTGGATGTGTGAAGTTATTAGGGTTTTATGCAATTAAATCTGCTGAGTTTAAATATTTGAAACTGTCTACCCGAAACAAAACTGTACAAAACTGATGAGATAACTAACTTTGGTATTTGACTTTGGCTGCTGACTTATTTTCCTCTCACTCATATGCATGCAGGCAATGCTCTTTTCAACAAGTTTTCATTGCTTTCACAGTTACTCTGGAGAAAACTGGTAGGTAGTCTTCACCAGAAAGAAAAACAAAGAAGAGGGAAAGAGAGAGAAGAAATTCAGAACTCATAATCCCATCATAGCCTGATTTTAGCGGTGGAAATGGAGTCGTGCTTGGATTATTTATTTATATTGGTGTCATGTTTCGTGATAACCAATAGACTTATTAAATTGTAAAATTGATAATATATAAGGGTTTTTTTTGTCAAAATGATTCATGAAATTGGCATAACTTCTCATTTTAATCTACAACAATGAAATTCGATAGAAGGGGTCCTTGAATTTGTCTACCATAAATTATTTTGATCATTCTATAAAAAAATCTATCAATATCAATGTTAAGTGGAGGGTATGGCTTGACATAAGGGTTATTATACAAAATAGTCCCTGAGATTTGTATGATCAATAGAAATGATCTTTGAAATTGAAAATCAATAGAAATGGTCCCTGAGATTGTCCAACATCCATAATTTTGGTCCTTCTGTTAAAAACTTTTTGGGCAATTTTCAAAGTTTAGTAACTTAATCGATTCTTAACCAAATTCGATCATAATATATCAAAATGAAGATAAGAAAGTGTAGAATAAGATTATACATATTTGAAAGCCCAATGATTATCGGAGATGGCCGAAAAATAGCCTGAAAAGTAACTGGTCCGAGGGAAAACTGGAAAACTTGCCTGAAACTAGGGTAAAATTTAAACGTTCATAACTTCTTCAATACTCAACGAAATCGAGTGATTCGAAAACGAAAATCATACTTCTAGACAAGACAAAGAGAATAGTATCTTTATTTACTGCTAAATAGCCATGGTTTGTTTGGAAAACTGCTCGAAAGTGGCTAACTCGAAAATGGTTAGCCATTTTCGAGTCATTGTCTGACTAAACCACAGCAAGTTAGCCTTCAAAAAAGGTACCATGCTCTTCGTCTCATCAGGAAGTATTATTTTTATTTTTGAATCACTCAATTTGGTTGAGTATTGAAGAAGTTATGAACGTTTAAAGTTTACCCAGTTTCCGGTGAGTTTTCCAGTTTTCCCCCAGACTAGTCACCTTCCAGACTATTTTCCGGCCATCTTCGGCAACCATTGGGCTTCCAAATAAGTATAATCTTATTCTACACTTTCCTATCTTCATTTTGATATATTATGGGTCGAATTTTGTTAAGAAACGATTGAGTTACAAAGCTTTGAAAATTGCCCAAAATTGTTTTTAATAGAATGACCAAAATCATGGATGGTGGACAATCTCAGGGACCAATTCTATTGATTTTCAATCTCAGGGACCATTTCTATTGATCATGCAAATCTCAGGGACCATTTTGTATAATAACCCTTGACATAATCGTCTTTCTCTCCTCTCTTTTGTTTTTCTTTGAACAACTCATTTTATCCACCCTTCTGCAAGGTTTGGATTGGAATGTACGTTTGGAATTTTAGTCCAAACTATAGTTCATCATCCTCACCTCCAAACCACCACTAGGTAGCATAGTAGTTGATGATGAATTTCAGACCCGTATTTCACACGATACGTTCTATGTTCGATTTATGGCATTGCTGAATTGCACGATATTGGTTAGGAGGAAATTAAAATGCCTCTGTGAGTTTTTCATACTCCTGAAAGAGTGAATTGTCGTGACGAAACTACTAGCTAATCCCTTTTTAGAAAAAGAATAAAATAAAATCATACTCACCTCCGAACTGATTGAGATCATAAACACTAAACACGTAGAATTAATATTTGATTGTTTGATTTATTTGCCTCTTTCACTATAATTAAATTAAATGAGAAATTCTCAAGTACCTAGCTACTTTCTCCACACCAAAAAATTAATAAAATTTAACTATCTGTATATCTACAGGTAGCAGTAGCTATCTCGTGACTGTATTAACAAGTGGTTTGTACGTAACAGATATTGGAGAATCGATTCCCAACACATGAAACGTCTGACTTTCACCATTCTAAATTTTTAATTTTTTTATTTTTTATTGGGTGATCAGCGGGAGGTGGGGTATGCAACATGGTAACTTTCAGGATGTCACTCATTTTAGTATTATTGTCATCCAAACTTGCTTAATTTCAAAGTTTTGATCAGATCTGGTACATGTGAATTGGTAGTACTACTCTAACTAAATAATTTTTTCATGATGTCCTATCTATGTAAAGTTCACTAACTTTTTCTAGTGTCCCTCCACTTGTATTATGACACATAATGTGCCCAATTTTTATTTTTTATCAACGATAATGAAAATTTCTATGTTCATATTTCCACGGTGAGAATGGAAAATATTACAATGCTAGAAGCTAGTTAGTCTTTTTACCAATCAAGGATATAGGAATCCCATTGCAAAGGGAGGACAAATAAGTTGGAAAGGAAAAGAAAAGAGCAACGTGCATAATTACACATGAACGAAGTATTTGATTCTTCGACAAGATGAGGATTTAGGCCATCTCCAACAGATCCGGTCAGATAACTATAAGACTAAAAATAGCTCGAAATAATATGAAAATTGTTTCCAACCGAGGGCTAGGCCAAAGGACTTGTGGGCCTCACCAGGCCAAAACCACCAAATTAGGCCAATGATCTCTAGCCAGCCCGATGAGCCCAACCCACTTTTTTTCTTTTGTTCTTTTGGATGAATTTTTTTTTTTTTAATTCTAATTTTTTCCCAACACCATTTCTCACATACTTTTCATCATTCCATACTATCTTACCTCATTTTATTTCAATTCTTCACATTCTATTCTCTTCCAATAACATTTCCTTTAATTTTTTCAATAATTTTCAAATGGCCACCTGTGACATCCCACATCGCCTAGGGGAGTGATCCTTAAATGTATATTCTCATCCCTACCTAACACGAGGCCTTTTGGAGCTCACTGGCTTTGGGTTCAATGGGAACTCCAAAGTTAAGCGAGTAGCGCGCGAGAGCATTCCCAGGATGGGTGACCCATCGGGAAGTTCTCGTGTGAATTCCCAAAAATAAAACCGTGAGGGAATGGTAAGCCCAAAGCGGACAATATCGTGCTACGGTGGTGGAGCGGGCCCGAGAAGTGATCCGCCCCGGGCCGGGATGTGACATTTGGTATCAGAGCCTAACCCTGGTCGCGAGTGTGCCGACAAGGACGTCGGACCCCTAAGGGGGGTGGATTGTGACATCCCACATCGCCCAGGGGAGTGATCCTTAAATGTATATTCCCATCCCTACCTAACACGAGGCCTTTTGTGAGCTCACTGGCTTCGGGTTCAATGGGAACTCCGAAGTTAAGCGAGTAGTGCGCGAGAGCATTCCCAGGATGTGTGACCCATCGGGAAGTTCTCGTGTGAGTTCCCAAAAACAAAACCGTGAGGGAATGGTAAGCCCAAAGCGGACAATATCGTGCTACGGTGGTGGAGCGGGCCCGGGAAGTGATTCGCCCCGGGCCGGGATGTGACACCACCTCTTTCAATAATCTTCCAATATGTCCGAAAATCTTATTTTAATATGGTAGTTTAATTTAATTAATTATATTAATTCAATTAAAATAATAAATTATGTTTGGCCTATGACCTTTTGGTCCCCTCGGTTGGAGATGGTTTTCTGTCACAAGGCTATGTTTGGCCTATGACACTTTGGCCCTTTCGGTTGGAGATGATATGAAATATAGTTTGACACTGTTCATTAAATATATAATTTTTTAGAATACTATAGGGCTAAAGAGAGTCAGCTGGCCTCATTCGGTTGGAGATGACCTTAGTAGCTGCTTAATCTTTGTTAGTAGGTCTCAATAAGTTATTTTAAGGTAAAGTCCATCGGTGGAGAATTAGGTTTCTGTTTCACTCGCCTGTTTATTTATATATGATTGAGTTTACTGACTGAAATCTTTCAACCAGGTGAGACCTAGACGACCGGTGGATCAACAGTTTTTAACTAGATTAGAAAGAAATTCTTTAGTGATAATAAATTCGTCATTAATTTAAGGACACAATATGTTGAAGAGTGTAAAGTTTCATGTCATGTTTAATTAACTATAGTTTATGCTAATTGGTTTCACTACTTATTGTATCGAACATTTTGTAAACAAAACCCACACTTACGGAATTGCACTAATGATTAAATTGGAGACAACATCAATACTGATTAACATTAGTAGAATGGTATTTTTTTTTCACCTCGACTTAGGAAGAAAAGAAGGAAAGAAATTTCTCACCCCAAGAGCGTTAAGGTGGCAAAGAGCACCAATTGCAGTACAATAATAGAGTTGTAGTTATTTGGTGCACTCTCTAAAGAGCTCGATGGAGCCCGTTTCAAACTCTAAAATTATTAACAAAGAGAAATGTTAAAGTCATTTTTTCAAAAGTAGAACACTCTACGGATTTTTTATTAACTCATATTTTTTATATAAATTTTATAATGTTGGGATAAAAAATAGATGTTAAATTCTGAGCTGACAAAAAATCTATAAAAAAATCTCACTTTTAAAAAAATCCTCTTAATAAATTATGGTACATGAATTTCATAGTCTGAAATATATTTTTTGTAACAATGTTGACAAGTAGTAGACGGCTAAACGTGTATAAAATTTTAACATAATATTGGAGGACTCTTTCGGCCAAACAAATAAGCTTATGCCACCTACCATTCTTTCAAAATTGGCAACCCATTGACATTCTGCCCTACCAATATTTTTTGGATATGTTTAACTTCATTAAAAAGACATTTTGACATTTTAAGTGAACATTCAAATTAATTCCTTTTATTTTTGTTATTCTTTTATATTTTTTGGTCAAAAAGTAACCAACAAATACACTATTTCAGAGGGGATCTTGTACCAGAAGAGAAAAAGGACAAATGAGTTGGAAAAAATAAATAAAAACAAAAACATGACAATGAACTTGGACGAAACAAAACCACGCATGTTTTTTATTACTAGATTTTCAAAAATAGGATATCTTCTATATAATAATACCGATGGTTAGAACATCGAGGTAGAAAAAAAATTGTTTTTTCTACAAATAAGTGCGTTAATAAGTTAAATAATTAATTGTTTGAGATGAGAGGAATCATAGAGATCAAACCGCACTTGATTTTGGATTCAATCTAAATGTGGGTTTGAAGCTATCTAAACCTTAAATTTATGTAATAATTTCCAACACTCTTCTCTTTCTTTAATAATAATAATTTCACAGGTGGTCTAAAAAAGTGTAAAAAGCCTATCTAATTAATGACAGCTCATATTGAATTATAAGCTAATTGCTACATCGAGACCTTTTATTTATTAAAAAAAAAAAAAAAGTCCTCACAGACGTATTAGATTAAACGAGTAAAGTTGAAATCTTTTTACAAGTGACATTCTATCAGAATAATGAAAAGAAGTATCGTCTTTTGCACTATTGTGTTGAGTTCGACTCAACTTCCTAATTAAACATCAAAGTTTCCAACAACCATTCTTCCAAAATTGGTGAACCCATCCCATATTCAAACTCCAGAGTCCAAACTGTCCAAAAAATCAAGTTAGTTGAAAAGTATAATTGCTTTTATATAAAGTAGATAGCCCATGAGGTTTAATCGGACGTGGTAGGTTTCAAACCATTCAAAACATCTCCCGCCGTTCTACTCCTCAACCCCCATCGACGTCGCTCCAATCTTCTTTTTTTTCCTTCTAATTTTGGACTTCCCAGAAAAAAAAATAGACCATATTAATGAGAGCCCATAATTCCAACAAAATAGAGTTGATAGCCAATTATTTTATTCATTCATCAGCTCCATACTCTCTGTAAACATCTCCTCCACACTCTCCATCTCTCTCTCTCTCTCTCTGACTGTTAGTCTTCCAACTCATCCATCGCTTGGGGAGTGTCATTGGGTTAATTTGCAAGCAACTCCGGTATGTTAGTCTCTCTCTCTCTCTCTCTCTTACCATGCTGCAAAGTTTTTGGGTATGATTTTCTAAACATAATTGGTTGGTTGGATGGTATAGATAGGATACCAGGAATATGAAATGATTCATAACCATGGACTGATGAGTGATTGATGTCGTATTAAGCTACTGATAAGTTAGCACTTTAGTTTTTCTATACATATGTATGTATAGATATATAGTTGGTTTTCTGTCGATCTGCATTTTGTTAAGAGTTGAACAGAGCTCGACGTAAAACCCGAGTTCTGGGCGGATGTCTAGTTATTTTAGCAACTGCTTAGTATGGTGATTAAAAAACTTATTACCATTTCAGAAGGGTAGCTAGTCGATTAATTACAAGTAAACGTTCACTAACTTGAGGAACATTGCTGTGAATGGAGGAGTTAGGTGGGTTCAATCTTGACAAGCAATGTACGGCTGTCGTTGCTGTTGACTAGTTGTTACGTGGCATATCTAGCTTCACGATAATTTGCATTTAATTGACCATTCTACCTTTTCTCTCTCTATCTCTCTAACTGATATAGCTCATAATCGTTTAGCTTTACATTTGTTTTTTTTTTATTGTTGGTCATCAATCCTATTTTCCGATTCTGATAGAACAGTTGCCAAGTGAATTCAAGTTTCGTATCCGTAATAGCGCGAAAAAAAAGTATATATCAAATGTCTTTCAATAAAGTATAAGACATCTCACATCTCACTTACTAATGAGTAAATATATTAATATAATCATCTTATTCAATAACATGTGGGAGCGCAAATCTTAGTTTAGTCAAGTTAGTTAAGGTAGTGTACTTCACCCTCTATGTCACGAAACATGCATGGAGTAGTGGTGGTTGTTGTATTTATCATTTGTACGGAAAAAATGTGAAATCATGTGGGCCATTAAGCTCAACATGTCTGTTAACCTCCTTTAATACTAAAACAGAAGTTGAGATTTCACTCTAAAATTAATAGGCTGTAAATGAGTAATCCAACTCCTTATAAGACCTTTAAATGTTTGTAATTCCCCGATGTGGAATTGACACTCTCACCGTTGTTAACCGGCTGTGAGCCTCCAAATTTGGAGACTTGAATATTAGAGACTAGAAACCCAGTCTCCAAAATTTTCTCCTTGTAGTGCAAAAATGAATTAAAATAATTTCCATCAGAATAATATCCAATCTTTTTTCTGAAGGCAATTGTATTTATATTTGGCACTTGCCTTGCAGATCAAGTAACCAGACTCGATCACATCACATGGGAGAAGACATTAGAAGGAGTCTCTTGGTAAAAGAGACAAGTGTCGGGGAAGAAGAGACCAGAGTTATTGATGGCGAAGAGGAATTGTCACTGAAAAGAAGGGTGTGGATTGAAATCAAGACGATGTGGGTGGTGGCTGGCCCTGCTATATTCACCAGAGTTGCGTCTTTCGGAACAAATGTCATCAGTCAAGCGTTTATCGGTCACATTGGCTCTCTGGAGTTAGCGGCTTTTTCACTCGTGTTCACAGTACTTGTCAGGTTCGCAAACGGCATCTTGGTATGTTTATTTTGGCTCCCTTTACTATTTCTTTTATTTGATCTTGTTTTTCACATGTTCTTGGGGACAAATTGCAATCGGCATACCACTCTCAATTTCTTTTCGCTGTTTTTGAACTCCACAGTGAATTAGTTTGAAAGAAGTTGCATTTAAAGCACATAAAGTTTTGTTTAGTGCTAAAATCTTCAGTTTATAGCAGATAAAGTTTTAAAGTTCGTGCTTGTCTCAAAGACTAGTTCAAGATCGTGTTCACTTACTGTTTTTAGTTGTGTTGTTGATGTACTTCAAATGAACGAATTCATAATAATGGCTTCGAAGATCAGCGATTGAGTATTCGTCAAGTTTTCTTTACTTTATGACTTGCATATGATCTATGTACCCCAACTTGTAGCTGAAAAATGTATTACCCCAACTACATTCTGGTTTGTCATCTGTTTTCCAAATTTTAGAGGCAAATGTGAAATAAGCGTTATTTTCTAATGGCTACTGTACCAATTAGTTCACGAAGTTATCTGCTCTACGAAAACTTAACCATAACAGCTAGGCTTTTCCGTGTGATCTGACTGATCGATGTTTCTGAATCTGTTACTCTACAGCTTGGCATGGCAAGTGCGCTGGAAACTCTCTGTGGTCAATCGTATGGTGCAAAACAGTACAACATGCTCGGGATACATCTTCAGAGGTCATGGGTAGTACTGTGTGTAGGCACATTATTCCTCATTCCTCTTTGCGTCTTTACAACCCCCATTTTTGAGGCTTTGGGCCAAGCAGACTATATTTCAAAAGTTGCAGGATATATTTCTCTATGGGTAATCCCTGTGCTTTTTGCCTTTGTTGTATCATTTACCTGCCAAATGTACTTACAAGCGCAGAGCAAAAATATGATCGTTGCATACGTGTCAGCAATTTCAATTGGAATCCACATCTTTCTTTGCTGGCTTTTGAGTGTGAAATTTAAGTTTGGGGTTCCCGGTGTAATGGTGTCGACGATTATATCATATTGGTTACCCAACATGGGTCAGCTTTTGTTTATTCTGTGTGGAGGATGCCCCGAAACATGGACAGGCTTCTCGATGTTAGCTTTTACTGATCTCTGGGATGTCGTCAAGCTTTCTATGTCATCCGGCGTTATGCTTTGGTAAGAATTTCTATTTGTTTCAGCTTTTATTTTGTCCCTTATTCCTTAGGTTTCTTTAAGTGCGCACGTATAAGTTATAAATTTACTGGTTTCGGTCATTGATAGTATCTGCATGGAGGCCTTATGAACTAGGAGCTTTCACATAGACACAAATCACATAACTGATATTCATTTACAGTCTTGAGCTTTGGTACAACACAATCTTGGTCCTTTTAACGGGAAACATGGAAAACGCTGAAGTTTCTATCGATGCCCTATCTATTTGGTAAGTTTTAGAGCCTTCCTCTTCCTTGTGAATCTTAGTCTGTGATCATCCAACTGTTTCCAATGCTAAATTTTCCGACATAATTGCAGCCTCAACGTCGTGGGGTGGGAAATGATGATATCTCTCGGTTTCATGGCTGCAGCAAGGTACTTATTCTCGTTCTTCAGAAAATTGTTCTCTGCAAACGCGCTGAAAATTATATAAGATCTTCATCGGAGCAGTGCCTCACTTTTGAATATACGCTTTGTTTTCTTTGACACATTCTTAGAACTTGGTATGTTTTTATGTAATGTACTGTTGTACTGAAGTGTGCTTGATATCTTTCACTAGTGTACGAGTGTCGAACGAGCTTGGAAGAGGTAGCTCAAAGGCGGCAAAGTTCTCGATTGTAGTTGTTGTGTCGGTATCACTCGCCATTGGATTGGTGCTTTTCGTGCTTTTCTTGTTCTTGAGGAAACAACTTGCATACATTTTCACCAACGATGAGGAAGTAGCTGACATGGTTGCTGAATTGTCTCCCTTGTTGGCCTTCTCCATACTGTTGAACAGCGTTCAACCCGTGCTCTCTGGTACTGTTTCCGTTTCTCTAAAATACGCAATCATATTATTTCGCCTAGATTAGGTAGGTCGATACCATGAAGAAAACAATTTCCTTCTGTGTCTTCAAGTACCAGTTGATTAGTTAACTAAGTATATTTTAATTATCAAGAACATTTCTTGTTTCCGAAGGAACGTCTTATAAATCTTGAAGAGTTCATAACGTAACGAATCTTTCATCGACAGGAGTTGCTCTGGGAGCTGGATGGCAGAAATACGTAGCATATGTGAACCTAGGCTGCTATTACATTATCGGGATTCCTGTTGGAGTTGTGCTTGGTTGGCCTCTAAAAATGCAAGTCAAAGTAAGCTACTCTCTCTATCTTCTTCTCACTCAATCTAATTTTTGTTAGGGTTTGTTTGGGGTCCCCGATACTGGGTTTTGAGACTGCAGTCCGACGCATGTTTTGTGACGTTGAAATGGTTATCGAACGAGCCCCCTACCAAATCACTTCAATAGTCGTGTTTTCTCTTCGATTTGCTCTTTGCAATAACTCATTTTATCATTCCTCTTCTGCAGGGTGTTTGGATTGGAATGTTGTTTGGAACACTTGTCCAAACTATTGTGCTAATGATACTCACCTACAAGACTGATTGGGATAAACAGGTAGAATTAATATTTGATTGTTTTGTATGCATCCTTCACTAAAATTAACATGACATACTGAAGAACCTTTCTTCAGAACCAAGAATCTAAAACATGTATCAACATCTACAGGTAGAAATAGCTCGTGACCGCGTTAGCAGGTGGGGTCAAACAAATAACGGAGAATCGAACCCCGACACATGAAGAAATGTCTGATTTTTGTCGTTCTTCAGTTGTTCTAGGCCCACCACGAGAAAGACGCACAGAAGTAACACTTCTTGCGAGCAGAGGATCTTTTGAGGATTAATTGTGTTATCCATTTTGCCTTTCGTTTTTCTTTGATTCAATCGACTTTCGTTATGAAATTGAAGGACATTAGAGCATTCTTAACGAAGTGGAGTCAAGGACTCTAGATACCGCTAAGCCAAATAGTCATTGGCATTTTTCGGTGGGTAATAAAGCGGCCATTGGCGTTTTTTTGTCGACAAACGATAGATAATTACACTAAATTTTTCTTTGATTCAAACAAGTTTCATTTATGAAACTGGACGTTAGAGCATTCTCAACAAAGTAGAGTCATGGACTCTAGGTACCGCTCAGCCGAATAGTCATTGGCCCCTTTTTTGGTGGTAAAAAAAATGGCCATTGGCATTTTTTTGTCACAAGCAATAGGATAATTACACTAAATTTATTTAAAAAGCGGGAAGCAGTAAGGCGGAACAATAAAATCCCACAAAGGTGAGGCATAGAAAGAAACACATGAAACTTGGACCAAAACAAAGAGGTTCAATCCTCCCAGATGGCTCGAAGCTCCATCATAGCCAAAAATGGCTTCCGAAAGAAAGGGGGAGAAAAAAATGGCCCATCCTCCGACCCAGTTGTGCCGGAGGACAGGGCAAACCATCACGAGACAAGACTTTAACCGAACAGGGCGGGGAACCCGAAATTTACCGACCCCTTCATCAATGAGAAGGGAAATATTAATGTCATAACCTTGATGATGATATGGCACTTGGACGAAAGAAAATTACATATGTAACTTTACTTTTCAGATAGAAATACAGATGGTGAGAGCACTATAGTTAGAAGTTTACAAAAGAGAGAGGGATCATCTTCTCAACAGATTGTATGCTGGTAAATCCTTTACACTGGAGACATCCTCGAGTGCAAGCTCGCGTTCCAACTGAATTGTCGTAGACTTCATAACATCCTGGAAAAAATTAAAAACAGAATCAGAATAAGAAGAATACAGTGCTTTGCATCTTAAATTCGTGAGCGGAGTGACAATCATTTACATTGAAGTCCATATAAGAAGCACGCTTTGCGAGCCATTGAGCATCCATCATCTGGAAGGCTACACAATAAAGGTTGTCAAATGCCATCTCATCTTCTTCAAGCAGTTCGAGAAAACGGATTCCAGCCAGAGTAGTTGGCCTTGCTGCAAGAAAGTATATCTGATTATTTATTTATAAACACAGCATCAGCATTCAGAATTTGATGGAGGAAACAAAGAACTCTTCAGATAAACATGCTAAGCTGATGCATTCTTGTCAAATGGTTAAGATCGTCCATCCTCTCGCTTAAAAATTTAACGGTACCTGATTGAAGATCCAACATTTGTGCCAAGACAAAAGAAATATTGATGCCAGCTACAGCAAAGGGATATTCCCAGTCAGCTCTAGTTCCATCTTGTTTGTGCAACAATCTCTGGAATGATTCCTGTAACAGGATCAAATCAGAAACTCATTAACCCTTTCATGACTTCTGCGGAAACATGGAACAAAATGATAAACTTAATTAAAATAGAAAGTCTTGCACGCTACATTCAAAAGAAAGCAATATTTTGACACCCATACGCATTAAAGCATTGAAAGAACAATCTTTCTATGTATATGCATCATGTAGGCAATAACCTACAAGTTTTGAACATACGAGAGAAATGTAAGACAGAATGTCTTGCAAGCATGATGCTGGGAAACAAAGAAGATAGGCAGCCAGACTAAGAAAGTAAATCTGAAGGGAGTGGTATTATTTCAGTTATAAGGTATAACAATAAGAAAAATCAGCATCTCCTTTGAGCACTTAACCCAACAATCCCAGCATCAAAAACCAAAAGCATTCCTCTCATGTAATAGAATGAACTCAAACCCTTCTTTTCTTTGACGCGAAGATAATGAAGGGTACTAATTCACCAAAATATAAAAAAGTGCAAGACTTCCAGTTTATCAAAGGGCTGGCATCCAAAATAGCACCAATATCTGCATTGATAACACTGCTACAAATGTGGGACACTGAAACTCTACCCTTGCTACAACATTTGTCGATATTTTGTAACTTTGAGCACTGAATCTACTGATATCTCAGACAAGGCCGATACTTTCATCCTTATCACAGAGACTTTCTCTAAAAGTCAAAGCACTGAGGAAAATTTCCAACTTCTGAACCATTAATATTTGTGAAACCCAAAATTTCAAATGCAGCAAGGATTCTCCACTCAGCCTTGCAATGAAAGTTTATTTGTGTAGTAATCAGTGTTCATTGTAAATCATAAAAATTTTGATGGCTCAAGCTTAATAAATTAAAGGTTTAAAAAGAAAACACGGGATAAATCTTGAAGTAACAGGAAAATATATCAAGGGCATACAATTTTTTTATCTACTATTGAGAGATTTATTTGCTAAAATGAAATAGAACCTACCAGCCTATTATAATTGAAAAAATAAATTAAGTTAGAAGGAGACAAACCGGATACTGCTGAGCAAAAAAGATAAGATTCTCCAATGATATAAATCCCCCACCTCTGCAAATAAAGTTTGAAATTTCTCATTATCATTTTCTTTCACAAAGGAAATATGAAACAAAAATATGTGACATCACGATACTTTCATCTCGTTTAAACTACACACCTAAAATCTGTTGAAGGGTCTGAACCTTGCCAGCCCATCTGTTTCCAAAGCTCTGATTTAAGAGGTGGGAGCTCCTTATCCGGATAAGCCAGCCTCCATAACTGTAAGAGTGCATCCTGCAATTAACAAACTCAATTTGTGTTTAAAATTGAAACAACAAAACTAAATTGATTAATTCAATGTCCAGTAATAGTACAAACAACTCTTCTATTTTTTTTTTTTAAATAACTTGGACATTGTTTATCACCATAATCAATTTTCAGTCCAGAAAAATCAACTATGAGAAGTTTGTAAAGTTTTAAAACCTGCATGGCTGCATCCAAAATTTCCATTAAACTCACAGGAGGAGGTTATCCTAAGGTACAATATAAAGAATATATAGAATAGTATCATTACAAAAACAATGTTCATTATTTTCCCAATTTCTTCATGGCGACTGCATCCAGAATTTGTATGAAAAGAATACCCGGGATGCATGCACATCTTGGGACAGGACTAAAGTTAAACAAACCATCTTACTGTAAATACTTACATTTGTCTGAACAAAGAGCACAAGTTAAGACATTTTGGCCATGAAGTCAACCAAAATAAAAGAAAATAATGATAATAATAACCCACAGTAAGTGTGATACAGTAGTACTAGTAACACAAAACAGAAAAATGATCAAAATGCTGTGAAATGGGAAAAAAAAGACATACTTGATGCTCCACACGAGAACCATCAAAGGGTACTTGAAGCCTTTGTCGTAGATATCTGAGTCTTGCTTCCTAGAGGGCACAAACACCCATACAAGTGAACCTCATATTCAAAAAATATATATTATACAATATATACACTTCCGTGATGCAAAAACAGTATAAATCATTGTCATTCCATTGTTTCAAACATCAATATAAAGGACATGTTCCCGCAACAACTAAAAATCAAATTGGAGGGTCAAGATCAAAGAAGAGATCTACTAGAAGGAATTACACCATCCTCCAAGCCCAGAATCAAAACAAAATGAAAAGCCAAATAAGAAACTACCAGCTTGCAAAGCAATTGGAAACCGGCTTCTAACAACAGATTGTAATTTTCATCACAAACCCACCCATTAGCGATGAAGTATTCTACAGTCCTTACTCTGACCCCCAAGAGTTAGTAAGCCAAAGTTATCTTTCACAGTTCCAAATTCATAAACTTAAATTTTAAACCACCTCACACTCCTTGAAAATATAAGATGATAGAGATCTTTTAAATGAGACCACACCCCTTGACTATAACCCAAGAGAAAGAAAAAAAATATAATAAAGGTAAAGACATTTCATTTCTCAAAGGTTATAAAGATCATATCATTTCATTGGACATACTTGCAGAGGACTAAGGGGAGGAGCAAACAACTTAGCGCTTTCTCCATTTTGTGTAGTTGAAGAGAAGGTCAAAAGCCGACCAATAAGTGATCCAGATCCAAGAACAATATTTGCTACAAAAGAGAAAACCAGAAAAATTAAGTTCCAAAACAAAAAATATATTTCCACTGTATAAAATACAGAACAAAATTCACATAGTATGAACTGTAAAATGATCACGATCTGAAATATGCAGAATCAGCTGTGTCTTATCAAGTTTAACTATATCGAACTCCTCAACAGAATTTTGAATGATCCTCAGGGTACTTTAACTCGTCCAATGAAAATATTGCCAACCTTTAGGACATTTCAGTAACTTAACACTTGAAATTCAATGAAATCATAGAATGACTGACCAGGAATCATATCACTTAATTAAATGGTTGCTTATCACGTGGGTACCTTTCTAAGAATGATTCCATATTTTGAAACTTCATAGTTGCTGTTTATTTGGTTAGATCATGTTCTAAAAATCTAGCTGTATAATGCCCCATCACTTATGGGCAAAGTTGAGAAAAGCTTTCCAGTAAAACGGTAAAGTCTTATTGACAACAAAAATCATGAATACCTAACCACCGTGCCCACTGCGCAATCAACTGAGAAAACAGAAGGGTCCAATGGAGGTGTTCCTTTCTCCGCTCGTCATCCCAGATCTCTTCAAGCGTCGTTTCCTGTGGTGCATCCCAGAAAGATATCAATCACAAAAGGCCAAAAATAACTATTACGGAAAAAAATTAAAAATCCTATCCTCCATTTAAATGAACAAATAAAAGCCTCACCACTGCACGCCTATCTGAATAATTTCCCAGTAGAGGCACATTAAGTTCATCTGACTCCGAGGTCTCCAAATGCTCTATCTTTTTCCCATCAACATCCCCATGATGAAGCCTTTTCCTCAAAGTTGCCGACGCCATTGCACTTCGTATATAATCAGACTGCATTTCCAAACAAATCATCTCATCAGTCGCGTTGTTACAAGCCAAATGCAGCATCTTTCACACACTGGCAAACAACCCAATACCAGATTCTCTCCAAACTTCCATTAAAGCTAACAACTTTCCACCCAATCGAAAACCAAATCACAAACCCGTAAGCACATACATCCCAACCACTAAATAAGTGCAATTTCAGACTAATCCACTACTGCATACAGTCCCAGAGCTACTGAGAGTCTGAGATACACCCACAATTTCAATTCCATAAACCCTAACACTGAAAAAACTCGGACTCAGTTCGGAATATCAAATGGGTTTGTGTCATCTTCCAATTCAGCGCCATAAATCAAGTTTACATTAGCAAAAAGGAAGAAAGACCAACAAATCAAAAGTTGAAGAAGAAGGAGAAGACAGAGGATTGCTGACGCCTCACCTTACGTTACCTATGGCTTCCGCAGACGACCCAAAACTGAATAGCCTTTCGTTCTTCAGTGATTTTTGTGCTGACAATCAAATCGAATAGCTTGCTCTTCTGTATGTGACTTTATTCTTCAACCAAAATTCTGAAAAATCGAAAAATTGTATATCTATCGATTCTGCGTATGTGTGCGTTTATTCAGAGTATCGTATTGGTGAAGACGACTTTCTGAATCCGGAGTTTGACGCCAATTCAATGCGAGCACAGCCGAGGTGACGTGCCCATAACGTTTTAAAGCTTGCAGCTTTTTTTTTTTTTTTTTTTTTTGTTCTTTCTTTTTTTGTTCTTACTTGTTCATAAGTAATCGTGTTTATCTTAGATTTGATTTTCAGAACTCTTATTTTAATGTTCAGAAGTAATCGTGTTTATCTTAGATTAGATTATTTGATTTTAATCTCAACTATTTAATTTCTCGATAAATTAAGTGAAGGTTAAGGATTTAGCTTATGATTGTCTGAAATGATGATTGTATTAAATACATGTTAGTATTGTATTCAATTTCAAATGTTGAAAGTTTGAAAGAATTGAATTTTTTTAGAAATTGGATGCAGTTACTAATTCATGATCTAGCATGCATAGAACGAAAACTCATTTTCGATTCTACGACAATTTGTAAGAAAGCCTTTCATTTGCTCATCTTCGGTAGACTAATTTTAAATTTTATTCTTGTTTACATGCCCATGCATTCGGACAATCTTTCGCTATACACGAAAAGTAATTAGTTTTAGTGTGGATAGCATCACCCTTAGTGTTATTATTCCACTTATATTATAACGTATGAGTATTTAAAAATGGAGTGTATAACATTGTCGCCTACGTATACATAACACATAGAATAGTTCGTTTGGAAGTACTGTTTAAAATATCTGAAAACGCTTTTGGTGAAATTGACATTGGGTTCGAAAAACAATTTAAGTGCTTTTTGGAAGAAGTACCAAATATATGTTTCTTGCAGGAAGCAGTTAAAAGTGTTTTTCTATGATCCACTTGGATTTTTACTGATGATTAGTTTCAAAAATATTTTTACCAAAAACGTTTTCAGTCATTTTAAAAGCACTTGTAAACGAGCTCCAATCACCTGGTCTCCCATATTACTCCATTATGTTTTGTTCAAAGAAAATCAATAGCAAGACGATTTCCCAACAAAATGAAGTGTGTGGGTGCCAATGGCCAACCTAGTTGGGATGTACACATCTTATAGTGATGCACTCTTACTACCTAATTTATCTTACAAATGTGATATGTTTTCAGATTGGATACCACAAGTCCTTAATTTCTTTATATTTCTAAAAGAAAAAATTATAGCATCAGTCCTTCAACTTTAATTAAATATCTCTTAACTACAAATTCATGACCATTAGTCCCTTAACTCATAAACACGTGCAAATATGGTCATTTTCGTCAATTCCGTCAAAATAACTTATGTTGGAAGGACCATTGTTACAATTGGGTTAAAATTGAGAGATCATTGCTTCAATTGGGTTAAAGTTAAGGGACAATTTCTCCAATTAGGTTAAAGTTAACGGACTATTGCTACAATTTTTTTTACATTTGGTTTTCCATATTCGCCCATTTATTCAGCCTGCGTGGCATGTAACTTATTTGGACGAAAATTCTAACGGAGTTGACGAAAAGAACCATAACTGCACATTTTGATAAGTTAAGAAACTAATAATCATGGACTTTAGTTGAATAACCATTATTTCAATTCGGTTAAAGTTGAGGAACATTGCTACAATTTTCTTTTTCTAAAAAAATTCAAGGCCTCTTGATTGACACTAAGGCCAGACCCGAGCCCAAAAAAATTTAGGGCCGGCCCAGCACAATTTTTATGAGAGATGCTATCCACACCCCTCCTAAAATTAACACGGTGTATAAAAGATTAAATAAAAAAGCGTGTAAATAGCAACCCGCTACAAATTTATAACTAGTGTATAAAGCACAATTGTAGCCAAGAAAGCAGCATCATCCCACTCGAGAGGGGAGTCGACGAAATGCATCTCGCAATACTATTCATCGTCTGAATGTCGATCGGGACGCAGCCTCCCGGAAGCAGCTGGAGAAACACTAACAAGGTAAAGGCATGTCCAAGATTTAAAGTACACATTTAGTAATATGCCCCAAACGCTGTTTACAACGCCAATGAAGTTTGCACAGGTACCTTCAAGTTAAGCACTTCATGTCAATATGAAATATAGCTACCGCGAAAATTTACGTTCTACACACATCAAAGGACTCTGTGCATAAATTGGCAAGGGGGAGGTGGACCTAGGTGTGTAAAAAGACCAGACGCTACTCTCTACTAATTTACATAATAACACAACGCCTCTGAGAAATTCCACCGGGTCCATAGATTTCCATGACGATATTGTCACCAAAAGTTTTGGGTACCTTCGCTGGTTTTGCCGGAGATCCAGGATAGGAAATTCTGACTAGGTAAAATAAACAGAACTTACTGTCGAGGTACTGGCTGTGTATTTGACTGATTACTTTGCCCGTAGAACCCCATACCCAGTGGCCGATAATAACCCCCAGTGGCCGGCTGCAACTGCTGCTGTTGTTGCTGCTGCTGAGGCTGCGACTGCTGTTGCTGTTGACTGGGCCTCGACATGCTCATTGAAATATGTGGAGGTATGGGGGGTGGAGGCGGTAAAGTATTTGATCCATATCCGTAAGGAACTCCACCCACCATAAGACCAGTGGATTGGACGTATTGATTCGCTGGTGGAGTTGCAGTAGACAGTGATGGCGCTGGAGGTGGTGGTGGCGGACCAAAAGGATTTTGCATCTGGTTACTTTGGGACATGGGCTGCATCGTTGCTGAGGATGCAATTGGAACACTGGTCATTGCCTGCTGGAGAGACGTAAAATAGGCAGCATTGCCGCCATCAGGATTGTTAACATCAGACATTTGTTTCTCAAGCTTGGGCCGTTTTTCTGGAGGAAACATGGATAATCCTGATGTAAATACAGCTGATGTTAGGCTACTGGTCATCGAGGCAGCTTCTTCAGCAACAAGAGATGAAAGAACAGACGTTAACATCTGTGCAGAAGATGTAGACGCAGCAAGCTTAGCAGCAACAGCAGCTGCAGCTGCTTTCTTGTTCTCTTCATCAGTAATTTTGACAGGGGCAAAAGAAACCACGGCCTGCGTTGGAGGATGAGGTGGGATGCCAGTTTGTTGACGTAATGGTATATTTGGTTCTAAATCCCTGGTAGATTCAGGTGTCATGTTAACGATATTGCTTTCGGGGTTCAGTCTCTTTTTAATATTACCTACCCTCTCAATCTGATGTCGAGCAACCTGCATGGAAACAAATAGTTCCTATTAATCACAGGGAGTAGCTAGCACGTAAAGGAATTGCATTATAAGACATGGTTTGATACGCTTTGCTTCTGGACCAACTTTATAAACAGACAAACCATTTGCGTCTCCTAATAAGTGCATCACCACAAAGGAAAAGGAAAAGAAATTGTTGATATTGTTACACCTTTCAGCAGATATTCAAACCCGATGAGTGGATTTATAACTTGGAAACAATAAATGATCAACCTCACTGTAAAAAGCAAAGCGAAGATTTCTCCATGTAAAATTAGCTCAAATTCGTAACATTGGAACTAGAAGATTTAATTAGGGGAGGACACATCACTTTAACTGATGTTGCAAGTGTTAGCGTCCAAGAGTAATCAGCTTATTCTTATTGCCTCATCCGTCTCCTGGGAACCTTGGGACTTTATGCTTGCTATTTGGAGTTAAATGAGGGCTACCTAAATCAGTGTCTCCATTTGACATCCTTGATGGCCAGTTCTAGAAGCCAAGGCACTGGAACTACTTGGATGTCCAAGAGCTTCACTATATAGCTTCCATAATGCTTCTCAAGAAAAAGGACTATTAGAACATTGACAGGGCAGGAACACTAAATTTCTGTGATTCTAACATCACCCCTGAGGACTTCTTTTATATTTGATGGATAATAAAGAAGGGGGTAGGGGGAAGGATCATATTTTTCATTGATTCAACTGAGTAATAAGATACAGCCTACTGGTTCCACAAATAAAATGAAAAATGAATGAAAATTCAGAGATCATCCAAATGAGCTCAATCAAAGCAACCAAATTAGCTCAATCAGCACCCCCAAATTAGCTAAACCAAATTAGCTCAATCATCCCTAAAACAGAAGGATCTCACTCCCAGCTTGCTGCAAATGAAATTTGATGAGAATATCGCGTTTAAGAATGGGAAAAACAAGAACAAACTCCAGAAATCGAAAAACAAATAACCAAGATAAATAACACCAAGAATTTACGTGGTTCGGCAATATGTGCCTACGTCCAAGGGACAGCAACAACAATCTTTCCCTATATCAATAATGAGTACAACCAATAATCTTGCCAAATCTCTAGAACTAAGACTTGACGATAAACCTGAAAGAACAAGAACAAGAAATACATTTTCTTTTCTTTTCTTTCGCACACACTTTACAATATTCTCTCACTCTAATCCCTTGAGTGGTATACAATTTATTGTTTTGCTCCTTCCTCAAAACTAGTACAATAGCCCCTTTATATAGACATAATAAAGGTCTTCTTCAATAAGGATTACTAATCCTAATTGAAATCTAGTTATGAATCCTTCTCCAATTGAGAAACTAACTCCAATTGGGAAAACAGCTCCAATTGGGAAAACAATTTAACCCTCTAAGACTATTAATTCCCAATAGACTTAGGACAACTTATCATGGGCTGGAAAAAACCCAACAAAATCAAGAACATGCTACGAGATTTCAGAAAAACTTGAGCAACTTGAGCCTACTAAAAGCACTTACAGTTATTCAATTTTGTGTTAGTCACAGCTAGTCACAAAGCCGAAGACGAGGGAGTTATTTCTGTCAGTTTTATTACCATAGATCCTCAAGTAAATCAAGCCAAGAACCAAGACAGCATCTAAGCAAGGTGAGGTTTAAGTATAAGACAAGAACCAATACGATGGAGGAGCCAAGTTATAAATTCAATAGGTTAAAGTCTTTCTACTTTCTTTTGTAATAAATGCAGTTAGTCTGCAAGTTCTTTGAGTTTGTGTCTCTTTATGTTACAATATTAATTATTAGGTGTCACAAATTCAGTCTTTAAAATACTTGTGTATATTAATGTGGATCTTTCCATATCCATGTACCAACTAGCCTATAAAAAGGGCTACTTTGTAAGCTTTTGAAAATAAGTGTTAATGAAAAGAACTTTGGGTTTCCTGCTTGTGTTGTGAGGCACAAACACCTTGGAGTGATTACCGCCCAACGCATACAAATTAAGGGCTGGTTTGGTATTGCTGTGCTTTGAAAAAAAGCTGCTTCTGCTGTGCTATGAGAATAAGCAGCTGTGAAATAAAGCAGTAGAATGTTTGGTAAACTTTTTTGTAAAAGTGCTTTTGAAAAAAAAAAACAATATTATAGTGTTTGGTAAACTTTTATGTAAAACAGATGTGAAAAAAAACCGGTTTTTCAAAGCTGGGTTTTGTAGCTTCTTGTTTTTGGCTTTTTTTCACCCAAAACTATGAAAAAAAGCTGAAGCTGAATGTTTACCAAACACAAAAACAGCTCCCAACTTTTTTTGATACCAGCTTTTTTCAAAATCACATCAGTACCAAACCAGGCCTAAAAGCTCCAACACACATAGAAATTAAACGCTCCAGCAAAATAATTACCGCCCAACCCCAGCTAAGTCCCAACTTAGGAGAGATTTTTATGTGTACCCAGAACACAAAGTGGTGCACCACATGTCATAATATAAGTGGACGACATGGTTGATATGTCACACTTTTAGGGTATATTTCTCATGTCCCTCCACATATATTATGACATGTGGTGTACCGCCTCGTATTCCAGGTACACTCAAAAATCTCTTTCAACTTAGAGTGGAAAACTCTTACATCTTTATCACTGCCAACGCCTGATAGGCCATAAGAAAAAAAAAAACCAAATTGTAAATTATGAGGAAAGGTATTGCCCGTATTTTAATGTACAGTTAAAAAAAAGTTTAGAGATCATTTTATATCAACCTAAACACTCAACGAAATAATATTTCTATTTAAAGTCGTAAAAAATGAAGATACAGTAGGATGGGAAAAGCTTATTAATCAAAGATCTTAGAAATTTATATGCCTTCAACATTTTACTTGTTTATTTTCTTTTACAGAGTCAATCTGAGAGTCAGCCAAAATTGATGCATGTTGATGACATTATTGCAGACCCAAATTCAACTAAAATTTTCCAGGCAAATTTAAAATCGTTGAACTTTTTAATCAAAATTTAAAATTGTCTTTCAATTCAATATTACTTCTATTCTGGGACTTCATATGCTTCTAAATAAGTTTGTTTTCTCAACCCTTCTCAAGAATAAGATTATGACTTCTAAAACTTGCTGACGCAAAAACCCATCTGCTAAAGGACAAAAGACAATACACATACTAAAACAGAACCGCTCAATAGATCAGATGCATCGAAGAGAGACCTAGAACTGATACAGGACAGATTTGAACCAAACTGACTTGGGTTAAAATTAGAAATTAGAATTGACATTTTAAAGCAAACAAAAGTAAAGAAAAAGAGAGAGCGTATGCATCAAAATACAAACTAGCATCACTAACGAACTAAACACTCTTGACAGCTCATCATAATTAATTGTCTTGGATATATGCACATCTAAATGCATATGGTAATTAAGACCTAAAGTTGATACAAATGTATCATATTCCATTCTCAGCCACAATATATACACACGCACAGAAGGGAGTCACATCAAGATTCAGTTTTCCCACAGTTTAGTTTACCTTCAAGCTAACTTTTTCCTACAAAACACAACCAAATTAATTCTTATTCTAACTACAAACATCATCTAGCCTTTTCAATCAATAGATCTCGACATTTGAGGGATGCAGGAATCAAACTCAAGATTTCATTATCAACAGAATCATGGCGCTGGGCTTATAATACGACAATTTCTGTTAGCTAGAAAAGATTATGAGGAACTGATGTTGACGACTAGCTGATCTCGATAACATTCAGAGATAAAAACTCTCGTAAATGAAATTATAAAGGCTTTGTAAATGCACACCATTTCCAATAAACAGACTTGTTAATTTTAAGAGGGCTAAATAGAGATTAGTTAGGTACTCTTACCTGCAATTGAGTGCGAACAACTTCCAGCTTTGATTCCTGTAACAGTTATATTAGCAAGTAAACATCAGTATCTGAAATCTTAAACAAAATAGCAGAAGCAGAAGTGATAACATAAGTGGAATAGAAAAAAGAATTGTACTTGATCCTGGAGTGCTTCTTTAAGCTGCAAAACCAAGGTAGATCTTGTTGCCTCCGAACTTTCAAGCTGCCCAACAGATTGATTAAGTACATCTTCCTGCTCTTTCAAATCATCCAACAATGTGGATCCCAGCTGAGTTCCTGATTACAGTTTATAACAGGGAAAAATCAATAAAACCATTCTACACGGCACTAAAACAATATACCTCAGGAGACAGAATTATTTTTTACTGAAAGCATCAAAGAGTTCAACCATCTTCGCTAAATTACACACATGAAAATCAAAACATTGTATATATCAACATACCTATCAAAGGAAGATTTTTCATTGATCTTAAGTGTCTGGATGGATTTAGATTTTCAGATCCATTTGGTTAACTTGACATAGGATTTCAAATAAGCAGTTCAATTAATTTAAAAATTATTGCTCATGACCCACACAACCCAAGAACAGTGAACCATGGCCCATGACTGTAGCTCATTATCTGTGGGGTATTGCTTGTCAGTTACTGTAACTGATGAAACACAACTTGCAACCTGTAACTTACATTGCAAGTCGTATTTCACCACTAGTAATAGAAACTTGAACCAGTGATATCTAGGTTGCTGCCATCCTTGGGTATGGCTTGTGATAAAGACAAAAGAGTGAAGGTAAACTTGCACTCTCTCCCCTTAAGTATAGCTTGTATAATGATTTTCAGTATCCAGGTTGCTGATATCCCTGGGTATGGCTTGTGACTTACTGTTTAAATAATACATTGATGTTATCAAATAATACCTTTTAGATATCACAATCATAAGGTCATAGCAACTAATGGTTTTAAAGTTCCTCAATTAACTTAAATCACAGAAGGGAAACAAAACATACACAAAGATAGGTGTAGATTCAATGGCTAGCAACTTCGTATTCTATTTATATGGTCATTCCTAAATAGTAACACCCAGAAACGGATACTCATTTCAAATAATACTTATTTTAGGATTTTCCTTTTTTTCTCAGTCTGAAACTTGCAATTGTTACTCCTAGAACTACACTTGAGACAGACATTGTAAAAGACAAAGATGAGACCATTTGAGCAATCATATAAACCAATTCAATTTTCCCCTAGCAGTCTATTAATGATGCATATTTGCATCTGAGCCAAAAAATAGACAAGTCACAGAGCCTTTTGAGATACAACTCATGAAAAAAAAATGAAAATTCACACAAAATAACTTGGACAACATTCTTGACCATGAACCAATGGTACAATACAAAGCCTATTCATAGTTCTCAAGTTATTAAGAACGAAATAATGTGATTAAAAAAAGAGACAGATAGCCTGTCATACTGATGTGAGACTTTTCAATCACTTGGCAAAGATTAATTCAACCTCTCTAAGACTTGGAAATGAGATAAGTTGCTAATTTTAATTTAACTAGAAACTGGCTGAACGGACAAACAGGTCAAGTAAAGAGAGGACAAACAGGTCAAAGAAAGAGAGGTCTAAGGAGGAGGTGAGCATCAAGAAGGAAGAAGGGAGGGGTGAGCATCAAGAAGGAAGAAGGGAAGAGATGAGCATCAAGAAGGAAGAAGGGAGAAGGTGATGAAGGGGGCAAACTAAGATCTAAATTCTATACAAAGAACGGGAAATGATGCTATTCCTTCTTTGATCCTTTGTATTGTCTAGCTATATTTAAAAGCTTTGCTCCTGTTTGCTTCGTTTAATGTACAACTCTAAAGTATGCACTAACATCCATTTGAAGAACAGACGAAACAAAAATGGCCAAAAACTGCTGCAAAGTATCCTCAAAGGTTCAAAACTTCTAGCATTCCTCTCCCTCACAAACACCACATAATACAACTATACAATGAGGAATAGGGTCCTAAACTATCAAAAGAAAATAAGACCAAAAATATCTTTCACTCTCATATTATCAAATTTTTTTTTTTTTGAAAGGACACTCATATTATCAAAATAAAATGACCATCTTAATAAAGCCACATGAGAGTTCATTCAAACAGATCAAAATATAATGACCATCTTAGTAAAAATATACTATTTTTTTTCTTTCAGATAAGAATCACGCAAAACCACACTCAATACATTCCACCTAGATCACATCAACTATAAATGCAACCAATCCAGATGGGTTACACAGTACACTAAATACAGCATCCATAAAATGCTAAAAAGAGGAAGCAGAAAATCTAATTCGTCCGGCATAAAAGTCAACTACTGTCTTCGAAAATTATTCTCTTCCATTATGACCATGTAGCAGGTTCTCCTATTGGCCAGAGTTTAAAAGCTCTCTTAGTGGGCAGAGTTTAAATTCTCTCCTAGTGGCCAGAGTTTAAAGGATCTCTTACCGGCCCCCACCCACAGAAAGACCCCTGTCAATAATGCATAGCTATTCTTAGAAAAATCATGCAACAAGTTACAACATATTTGTGAACTGCAGGAGCAATGTAAAAAGATGTGCCGTATTGATTCACCAGCTAATTTAAACGGCCACAGCAATGAGATAAGGAAACATAGGATCTTTTTAAAGTGTAGCACAAGTACCCAGACACATGAATAGAACAATGCTTTCTATCAGGCTAAGCTTAACCCAAAGATATATTATTGGTACAAGACAACAAATTTGAAACATCCACGAACACCCAGTCATTTGGGTTTCTTGGGATGATTTAAGTTCCAAGACAAGGCTAAGAAGGAAAATATGGATCTAAGGTGGACAAAACCGGATTATGATCACATAATATCTATAATCAAAGGAAAGAAAATTGACGGGATGAATCACCTACCCTAGTATCCTCCAGAACTGGATTCTAGTCCAATTACAAACCACAAATTTTGAACTAGGAGACTAGAAATAGCCCTGAGAAACGTATTTCCTAGGGCATTGAAACAAAGTCAAAATAAACAGAACCTGGTTTTCACACCATAAGAGTCCTCTGTTTTGTCATCTAATCCTATGACTCATCGAACAAAGTCACATATAAACAAAATTTGTGAACTTAACCACACGTCCTAACTCTTACCATGAATCAAGGTGTTTTCAACATCTTCATCAATTTTACCCACATAAAGTACAGCAGCACTACACTTGTTTAAAGCAGCTTCTTCGGTAAGATGTTCATCAAGAACAGGTTGAAATGCGGTAAGTATTTTTTCTGGCAGACCTCCAACAGCCAATTTCTGAGGTTTAGAAGAATAATAAGGCATGTACAAGCTCACAATAAATAAGAATACAATTATAGGCATTGAATATAAATCAACATTAAAGACTGCCCAAAGTGCTTACAAGTCTAACCGAGTGTGCATCCCTCTTCACTATCTTGATAGGATTTGAACCCTTTCCATTGCTTACAGGTGGAGCAGGATGATTGTTTCCCATCATGTCATCTTTAAGACTCTGCCCTCGAGACCCAAAAACCTTCCTTTCTTCCCATATGTCAACCTGAACAAACGAGATAGCTTACAGATGAAATAATGAGACTAGATTGCTAGGCACACATGATCAAAAGGAAGCATAAATAAGAGTAGACACTAAAACGGTTCCCCCTAGTCCATTACATGGAAAGAAAGGAGATTGTCTTCTGAAGAGTGGGAGCAAACTAAGATTTTTTTGGATTAATAGGAGGTGCTAACTCAGTTAGGTAGTGAAATCCTTTGAGGTCTAAAAAGGACTTAGGTTCAGATTCCACTTCGATGAAATTACAAACACTGCAGAATCTTTAAAATTTCTCAGGCCCATGCTATAGACTTAAATCACTTAACATTGTAGTCTAAGGTCACGCAAATGCATGCATGCACACATCCAAATATCTATCTATGGTAATCATACAGCTATTTACTACTGTTAATTGAAAAACAAAAGAGAACATTCATAAATGCTCACCAGTCTTGTGGCAGCTTTCTTTCCATGTTGATCACCATTTTCATAAACATACTTGAGAGCTGCAGGAAGGACCTTCCAGAATTCATTCACAAATTCACTGCCCTTTCGCCTACTGTTTTGCAATATGTCATTAGCCAAATATAGACAAGCCACACGCTGATCTTTCTGGGCAGAATTAAAACATTTATCCCATGTTTCAACAATTTGCCTTGCTTTCTTTCGGTGAGAAATACACCAACAAGACAGAGCTGTTTAAATGATTAAAGAAGCACATAATATAACATCAAAGTTGGAGCAAAGTGATCAGGTAGTACATTATATCTATGAACAAATCTCATAAAATAAGAACTACAAGCATTGTCGATACATCCAGAAATCAATATATGTGCCCATCAAATATGTTTACCAAAAGATTTACCAAAGAAATACCATTTTCTATAGCATACAATATAACTTCACGATGAATAAGAACCAAAAATAAAAAATAAAAATCCTATTATAACATATCGAGATCATAAAAATAATGAATTAACAGTAATTGACATCATCACTGCAACACTTCAGTTTTATAAACAAAATATTATAGTGTAGAACGAGAAACAATATATCCTTAAGGGGAGGAAAAGGTGGGAGCATATATATGCACAAAAATAGTCCTCCATATAATTTAAAAGTTATGTTTCCTTTTATAAGAAAGAAACGTTACTGCTAGTCAACAAAGTGCAAACAAAGTGGACAAGATATCACCCTAGAACATACATCACAGTACAGTCAAACTTAATAAGAATCATATTCTATGACACGAAAATAGTATCTATCGAAAAGTGAATTACAGAAGTTATTTACATAATCTATACTATTACTAAGGGAAGTATAGACATAAAAAGGACCAACTTTACAAAAAAGAAAAAATATATGCACTACAATATAAAATGGACCTCCTACATGCTTTTTTTTCACAAATTTTACCCTTAATAAAAGAAAATAAAATATATAATATCGATAACTAGAAACTAAAATTCATCCAATAAAATAAAAATACAAAAATCTCTACACAATCTTTTCAGCACTCTCTCTTCCCCTACAGTAAAAACCACCACTCTCTCTTTATCTCTTTTTTTCCTCCTACAATAACAGTCATTCTAACATGCAATATATGTGTGACAGTTGCTAGTAAACTATAGCACAACAAGAACATAGATAGAGTTGAAATGTCACCAACTAATGCAATGTTGATACAGCCGAAAACAAGAGCATACAGAAAAGGCAAAAACTTTAACATTACAAGTTTTTTCACAAATCTAAAATTAGGGAAAAGTTTAAATTTGTATTGAATTAGATTTAGCAAGATCCAAGTAATATAAAATGTACATATAGTATGTTATTCTAACAAAAAATTCTTATAAAAAAGTATGTTAATGAGTAGATGCGTAATACAGCCACACAGAAACAAATATGATTCCCTCATTGTAAACATGACTATCATAACATAAATTAGCTAAACCATGTAGTACTATACAGAGGGGATTTCTTAAGAGGATACATTGAATGCATTGTTGTGAACTGTTGAGTTTCGAAAGCTTGTCAGCCAATTTCTGTCCGTCAAATGCTTCAACGTTACTCATTATGCTGTTGCTCAGTTTTTTACATCCCCTGCCACAATAACTGTATTTGTATGCCAAAAAAACTAAAAATAAATGCTGAGAATGCATTTCGAACTTGTAAAGTTTTTAACTTTATTTTCACCCATTTAAGTACACGATTGCATTAACAGAATAAACAATTATTTACACAAATCCTGGTACTCAATATCGTCCCGTCTTGCTACATATTTACATGCTATCACAGTGAGATAAACACTAAATAAATAAAAAATCCCCCATTTCCTAAACTAAAATTTTCAAATTAAATAAATGTAAAAAATTTAAAATTTACGTACAATTTGTAAAGTTTTTAACTTTCTTCGACCCATTCAAGTATGGGATTCAATCTACAGAATCAACAATCTTTACACTGATCCTGCAACATATTTCAATTCAATCAGAGCTAAAAATAAATAAAAAAGATAACCCATTTCCTAGATAAAAATTTGAAATTAACCAAATTCTAGGGTTTAGACAAAAAAACGTCCACGCACAGCTTCGAACCGAAACGCCGTTAGGGAATCGAATCGGAGAGAAGGACGGAAATGAAGAAGGAGGAGGGATGGCATGGTTCGGGGACTTACCGGAGCAGCAGCGGATGGACGTCGCTCTCTCTCTCTCTTCTTCCGGCAACTTTTGCCAAGGCCCGAGTGCGCTCGGTCCCTCTCCTCCTTATGTGGGCTGAAACGACGCCGGGCTATATACGATATTTGTTTTACTCTTCCCTTTCCCAAAACCTTCAACTAGAGTCCTCAAGCAAAAAATAAATAAAAATATGGGTTAGCCCCAAACTTTGCCCATTTTTTTAAATTTAACCACTACCTTTTAATATGTTATGAATGAGTACATAAAACTCGAATTGATACCAAAATGTATTTTTCAATCGCATATGCGCTTTTAAGTACCTTTGGTAAAAAAAGGTTAGGTTTTGTTTCTGTTATTTACACTAAAAAGGGAATGAGTGAGCTTAGTTCATAATAGTTAACAATAATGTGGTTCAAATTCGCATTTGGCGAGAATCGAATCTAAAATCTCTTAAGTACAAACAAAAAAGAATACAACTACACTGTAATACTAAATGGCAAGTCTATAACTCTCTTAAAACCATTTCTTATCAACCAATTTACCTCACAAAACATTTAATACTTTAATCTAAACACTCGGCATTTAGGGCCTTTTGTCTTGGACTTGGCCACTTAACTTTTAGTACTATGATACCATCAGCGACGAATACAGGACCCCTTGATCAGCCTCCGGACCTACTGACTAAAATTCGTCAAAAATTGTTATAACCTTTTGTCACCAGATTGAATAAATTAAATAGAACCAACGAATATAATTAAACAGAAATATGTGAAGGTTAAAAAAGAACGTGTGTTTATAAGTCTCTTGTTTTGTGACCACTTTTAGATATGTTGTGTTTGAGTCTCATTACTCATTAGAGCATGTCTTAAGAACAAAATTGAGTAAAAAGTATCATTTAAAGAAGGTTATTTTCACCCAACGAGTATTAAATCAATGGAGTTGAATGATGCTACTTACAAACCTTTTTTTTTTTTTTTTTCTTGCTCTTATCTCAATTTTCGGTTATCGAATTTGAATAAGTTGAAGAAAATCAGTGAAAATAAATTACCGTAAATCAAATGAATACGACAAACATAATTAGTCGTGCCGGTGACGTGCTTGGGCCGTGTATGACACCTCAAGATCCAATACTAATAAGGCCCAAGCCCCTAAAGATTCATTGCCGCCGGAATGCTCATGTGCTATTAGCATCAGCATGTGAACCATCTCAGAGCAAATGCAAATGGAGACGACGGTGGAAGACACACTGTACCTGCAGCTGCACAAGCTCTCCGCCGCAGAGGAAGCGGCACTCGACCAGTTGCTCTCCACTCTATGGCAAACCAGGAAAACGGGCCTCCACTCTCCCCACAAAAAATCCCACTTCCAATCTCTCCTCCATCTCCCTTCTCTCTCCGAACTCGACCCCGTTCGTCTCTCTCTCTCTAAATTTCTGCAACCAAAGCTATCAAATTTGCATACCAATTTGTTGTTTTTAGTGATAAATTGAAAAATTACAGGTTTTGGCATGCCTTCGATCGCTTATCAGAAAATGGGTACACGAGAACTTCACCACCGACGACGTTTTGAAGCTGTTTCCGCCCGATTTGCCGCTCGATTTGCAGAGCAGTTTGGTGTTGTTGCTCCAGAAGTATCAGGTTCAGTGGAAGGACGAAGTAGCTACAGAACAGGTAACACACTCAGGGACTGTTTGGGTTTGCTTAGAAGGGCTAAACGTGCTTTCTAACAACCAAAAGCGCTTAGAAAAACCTTAAAAGCGCCCATGGGTCGTAAAAGCACTTTTAGTTTAAGTGCTTACGTGCAAAGTGCTTCATCCATAAGCATTCCGAGCCCTTACTTTGACAATGGACTTTCTTTTGGAATCCCTTACGAGTAGAACTGCTTTCTACATGTTTATAGTAAAAGCACTTCTAGTAGAAGCACTTACGAGCAGAAGAGCTTCTTCCATAAGCATATCCCGAGCCCTTACTTTGGCCCTGAAATGTCTGTCAATCTCAAAACCATTGCAATTTGATCGCTTACTGCATATTTTTTCCGGGTTCTCTTTGGTGTTTTGATTCATATATCTGAATGTTTTCCAGCGTTCATTGCCAAGGCCTAGTGTTGCATATCAGGTCAAGGCAAATGTGCCGCCGACCTTCACATCTTTGGGTTCCTCTGGCTCATTAAATGATTTTGGAGCTTCAACAACGCCGCTTGTTTCTGCTACTGATGCATCTCAACTCACTTCCATGCCTCCTGCAAACCTGGTGGTGGGTATACTTTGGCGTTCATTGGTTATAACTAATTACTTATGCTTGGAACCTTTTGTTCTAATGATATTTCGTAGGATTTGGGAAGTTTCTTGTTTTCTATATGATCTTGGTTTCTCAACAGATTCCAAACCAAAGATGTTTTTTGTTGTGGAAAGTATGCACCTGTTTTATCTTTCAAATATTTCACTGAACTTGCAAACCGCGGAACATTATTTTCATTTTCTTCCTCCCCTTCCCTTTAGGGGTATTAAGCTTGGAAACGATATAACTAATGGATTTCCTCGATATATAGGGAATTCTACCTCGCCTAAAGTCAATGACTTGGACCATGGAGAACTGTAACTCAGGGCCGGCTAATAAAGTGGCCGTCATCACTCTAAAGGTAGGCAAATTCTGAGAAGGATTCTTCCTGAAAGAGTTTCAAACAAATCAATTGAAATACATTATGAAGGTTTCAATTGTGTTGTGTGTATACGTATAAATATATGCCAGACGTAAGGTACACGTAAAAATTTAAGCCTTCAAAATCTCATGTTTGATAAGACTTATGAAATCTGATCAACTGCAAGACGTATGTTAACATCTGTGTGCGCGCGCGCACTCGTCAGTGAGTGCATATCTATTTCTCATCCCTTTCACAGTCTCATTAATTTGTTCAATCGGCTTTGTTCGGCCACATGATTTTATTCTATTTAATTATTTTTACTATTACTTTTGCAGTTGCAAGATTATACCAAATCTCCATTGGATGAAACCGAGGTGAAGTTTCAACTGACTAGGGACACTCTGGAAGCTATGCTGAGATCACTGACATACATTAAGGAACAGCTCTCAAGCATGGTAGGCATGCCTTCTTCCAACTTATTTGAGCATTTGGCCTTCGTTCTATCCAAAATTTTCATCTGAACCATAGAGATATAGGGATGATGAAAGATTTCACAAGGTCCTTGTTCCCTTAGGATCGCAGGCAGCTTTAGATGGTAGAATGTTTAGCAAACAGGACATGTATATAGAACAGAAGTTTTAGGATTCGTTTGATTTTTGAGGAATTAGATAGATGGAGAAGAATGCGGAAGAGAAAAGAGACAAGAAGGTAAAGGACATAAGCAACAAGCGTCAAAAAACATCGATGACCTGATTTGCTTTTATAAGAGAGCCATATTTGGGCTTCAAATAAAACTCCCAAATACTCCTATAAGTGGTCGCCTTTTGGTTGGTGCTGCCAAGAACTGACTACCCTCCGCTGGTTGCCGGCAAACTTTAGTTTCCAAAATTTATGGAAATTACGAAAGTTTCTTTATACCGGAAACATTAGAAATGCCGAGAAAACGCATCTATTTTCGAAGATGTATATTTTTTCTTTGAGAAGACATTTTCTGCTAAACAAACGAAAGATTGTAACAGATTAACAGTTCAGCACATACTTGTACATCAACATTGATGTGAGAATTTTAGGTGTCGCGCTTCTTTACCTTGTTGCAGAACGATATATCTGAGCTTCTGTTGTGGAAAATGTATTGCAGGTTGGAGGTACTTCGGGGCCATCACAGAAGAAGCAAAAGCAATCGGATCATTTGGTTTGATATCGTTAAATGTATAGCGAACACGTCTAACATCCCGATATGTTTGGATACTGAGCGAAATAGATTTTTTTCTTCACTGTGACCAGTGAAGCAAAAGCAATCGGATCATTTGGTTTGATATCGTGTATAAGATTTTATTTTGTTCTATTTATTTTTTGGTCCTTTAGAAACATTAGTAAGATGGACACATTTGCCGTCTCCATTCACAAACGCGAAGGTAGCTAACATTTCCGTTATTTAGAAGTTTCGAGTGAAATGAAACCATTAAATGCATTCATTCGATGCGTGTAAGTCTCACACACATCTACAATTGACAATCGTTCATACGCTCGCTCGCGTGTATTCATTATTCTTATTCTTTAAGGAACCGACCAACGTCAGCTGATCCAAAAAGTAGCAAAGTCGGCAGACAACTTGAAAAGAGACCAACAACTCTTCAACTCTTGTGCATTTTTTCGGATGCGTTTGCTAGTGACAGGTTGGTCGGTTTCAATAAAGTTGATTTACCACTTCAAACGGGATTTGTTATTAACGCTACAAATAGTCATCATGCACTTTTTCCCCCTTGTTTTTTTTTTCGCGAGAAAGAAGCGCATGACGAGTTTTTTGGAGTGTCAAACGCAAAACGGCTCCCTTTTGGATACTTGCAGAATGCATAAGGCAGCCTAGTGGTTGAAATATTTTGAATCGATGGCGATATCTGATGAGAAATGTCAAAAGAAAACGGGACAGAATAAACTACCCGGATTCATAGCTAAAACAATACGAGAACCTCAACTTTTACATCCAAAACTTAATGTACAATACTGATGATCAAAGCCAATCTTTCACCCAACTCTCACAAAATGTAGGATAAAACACGAAAAATTCACACTTCAAGAAATCAAACCAAAAACTCATTCTTGAAGAAACCAATCCATAAAAAATCAGCGAACGAAACTAGCACTTACCAAAATATGATTATAACCACACCACACCGGAGAAAACAAAGAGCTTGAAGTCGCAATCCACCAAACACATTCTTCAGTTTTCGCGTTTTATATTCTCAACCTCTGCCAATCTGTCCTGTGTATCAGATGGTTTTGGCGGCTCACCATCAACATTACTTCCTGAGACTTGCTCGAAAGCAATAGGACTAGTTATAGTTTCTTGAACACCATGTTCTGTAGTACTTGATGCAATCTTCTCCACAGTCGACGACATTGCAGTAATTCCTACTTCTGCCAATCCCTCCTTCAAATGTGATGTTGGTTTTAAAAGCTCGTCGACATGACTTTCTGAGACTTGCTCCAAAGTACTATTCTCTTGAACACTTGATAGTATATCACTTGATGCATTCTCCTCCGTTGAAATCATTGAATTAGTTCCTATTTCTTCAGCTCCATCATTAACATGGCTTTCTGAGATTTTCTTTGGAGCAGTGATATTTCCTTGAACATTCGATGGTATGTTGCTTGATGCAATCTCCTCCACCTTTGCACCAGTTTCTACTTCTTCCGACCCATCATGAACATGAATTTCTGATACTTGCTTCAGAGGAGTGATATCTTCATGAACACTCGATAGCATATTGCTTGATGCAATCTCCTCCGCAGTACCCATTGCATCAGTTCCTCCTTCCAACCCACTCGATAGCATATTGCTTGATGCAATCTCCTCCGCAGTACCCATTGCATCAGTTCCTCCTTCCAACCCATCAATTGAAATTGACATCGCCTTTGGCAACTCATCAACATGACTTTCTGAGACTTGCTCCAAAGCAGTATCTGCATTGGTATCTTCTTGATCACTTGATACTGTATTGCTTGATGCAATCTCCTCCGTAGAACTTATTGCACCAATTCCTACTTCTTCCAACCCATCATCTGAAACTGACGCCGCTTTTGGCAACTCATCAACATGACTTTTTGAGACTTGCTCCAACGCAGTATCTGCATTGATATCTTCTTGAATACTTGGTACTGTATTGCTTGATGCAATCTCCTCCGTAGAACTTACCGCACCAGTTCCTACTTCTTCCGATGCATCATTAACATGATTGTCTGAGACTTGCTCCGGAGTAATGATATTTTCTTGTTGAAAGCTTGATAGTATATTGCTTGATGCCATCTCCTTTGCAAAACCCATGGCATTAGATTGTACTTCTACCAACCCATCATTTAAAATTGATGTCGCTTTTGGCAACTCATCAACATGACTTTCTAAGACTTGCTCCAAAGCAGTATCTGCATTGATATCTTCTTGAACACTTGATACTGTATTGCTTGATGCAATCTCCTCTGTAGAATCCACGGCAGTAGTTCCTACTTCTTCCGACCCATTGGAAAGCTCACCAACATTATTATGTTCCGAGACTTGCTTCAAGAGAGTATGATTAAATTCCAACGGTAATTCTGTTGATCCATCCTCTGGTTCCGACACTTGTGGCAGCTCATTAACATTCCCATTTGAATCTTGCTTTAAACCGGTGACATTATCTTCCAAGTAGCTTGCTTCAACAATTGGCAACTCTGAACTGGTCTGGACAGTATTTTCGGCTGCTTCCAAGCATCTCTCTTCAACAGTTGGCAACTCGGAATCTTCCAAGCATCTTGCTTCAACAATTGGCAACTCTGAACTGGTCTGGACAGTATTTTCGGACGCTTCCACCTCTGGCTGATCGTCAACCACACTGGGAAGAACGACTTCCTCACCAGCTAGTCCCATATGAATTTGCTTAATATCTTTAATTGATCTTGCTTCAAGAACTGGTAGCTCCTGGTTCAATTCTGACGGGTTTAAATCACCAAATTCAGTGCTTGAAACATTTGCTTCCTCTGGTATCAGCTCATCTGTATGGAATGGCTCACCGATAACTTCATTCACACTGAAGTCCCCAACTGCATCCAACTCCAGCAGCAACCCTGCATCAATCTCCTTTACTTCACCTACTTCTTCTTTAATAATAAGTGCTTCGACATGATCAACATATGGTTCAACCATGGATTTATCCGACCAGGAAAGGACTTTTCCGTGCTCTGATGGTGGCTGTTCTTCAGAAAGAACGGATTGATGACTACAATCTGCCATCTTCGCGTCAAAAATCTTAGGGAGATAGATATCCTCCTCTGAATGAGAACCCACTAAACCGACTTGGTTGCTTGTCCCCAAGCTTCTTTCAGTTTCATCTGATGCATGTACTTTTGAGGTGGCACCACTTATCTCTATAAAACCGGGAGTATTTTTGTCTCTGCTCTCACCATACACTTCAGAATCCCGGTCTACAGACGGAACTTGCACTTCAGCTAATCCTGGAGGTGTAACCATTTCAGATATATCTGCTTGTATATCAGAAGAAATAGAGCTGAAGGAAAGGATTTTTTCAGTTGGTAGGGGGGTTGAGTCATAGACTGGCTCATCATGTTTCTCTTCATTCACTGTCCTGCTCATAAACTGAACTTCTGACTCCTTCAGTGAAGGTTGTGGCGAAATTACAAACTCCTTGGCAATATCACCTCTTGCCTCCAAACGGGTTGATCCACCTTCCACTGCATCTGCAATATTTTCATCCTCTTCTGTCAATGATGACAAGCTTGACGTACTGCTGTTGTCCTCTTCAATAGGATCTGGTTTGACATGAACTTCATTAGTAATATGTTCCACATGAGTACCCGTTGCACCAGACAAGCTCGGTTCCAGGTCTTGCGATTCAAGCAATTTTACTTCAAGCTCATCATGTTGAACATCTCTTTTTCCGGCCTGTTCCATTTCCAGAGAATCTACGTCTTCAGAGGATTGACTTCCGTGCTCAACAACAAGATCATCAGTAGCATGGTAAATGTTGGATATCACTTCTGTTTCTTTAGTAAAGTCTTGCTCATTGAACTTCCTTTCATCCAGATCTGCTGCAGAACTCACTGACTCGGTATCGGGAACAGAACTCAACTTTGATTCACTAACTTCGCTTAATTGTCTTTGAAATAAGGAACTGCTTGGTCCTTCAGAAGCCAACCGTTCTGGTACAAAAACAGGTCTCCATTTAAAATCTTGCCTCTCTTGCCTGGCCTGCCCTAAGGTTGACGGTCCCAAACTGAAGCTTTCATGCCTTCGGAAGATTGCATCCTTGGCGTGAAATGGCACAAACTCTTGCTCGAAAGGGTCTCCCTTTAGATCAGGTTTTTCTTCATTTGACTCGTACGGAAGATCAAAGGGGTTTCGCCTTGGCAACATTACTGACGGAGCAGACCCGGGAATGGGTAACCCCAAGTTGTCAAAGGGATCATACAGATCAAATGGGTTGTGTCTTGCCGTAGAGATTGGTGTAACATTAAACGGAAGATCAACTATATCAAAATCTATAAGATTCTTCTCTGCAGTTATTTTGAAGCTTTTTCTCGCTCTTCTCCTTGCAATAAGGTTCTCCAACCGTCGGTTCCTTTCAAGCTCCAGATTCCCCAAATCCATGAGATTCTTTTGGTCATCCTCTGTCCACTTGATCGCAGATTTGCTTTCATCATCCTTCCCACCCGGTGCTTCTTCCTCATCACCATCATTATAATCATTCCCGTCCTCTGCTACTTCTCCGCCTTGGTTTTCACTTTCCACATCAGACTCAACACTGCCAGCATTGTTCCTTTTAGACTGGTCTGAAGCAGCATCGGGCTCATGATCATGGGACACACGAGCTGGCTGTGGAGCTTCAGAGTATAAAAGAGGGTGCAGCTCATCAAGCATCGGAAGGATGTCAGCCATTGAAGCGTCTGGTGAGGAACTCTCTGCTTGATCTGACTCAGACTCTGAAGCATCGTCATCCACATCCTCACCAGCCCCATCATCACCAACATTTCCAAGAAGCGAAGAATACAAGTGATCACCCTCGTGAGCATAGCCTGCCTCTCGGGGACATATATCTTCACCTTCGACTCGATGAATCTCACCTCGCACCTTTTGAAAAGAAGTATATTGCTGCTCAACAGCCTCACCATCACCACCACCACTGCCAAGCAGTGAAGAATACAAGTGATCACCCTCATGAGCATAGCCTGACCCTCGAGGAGATATATGATCACCTTCCACTCGACGAATCTCATCTCGAATCTTTTGAAAAAAATTGTACTGCTGATTAACAGTTCCCACATCCCAGTCAATGCCTTCAATCCCCAAGTGATCGTTATCAATCTTTCTCCGCTCTCCTAAGTCCAAACTTTCTAATTCTCTCTCCGCATCCTCAATCTCTCTCTTCTCACCACCAGTGTTTAGCAAATCCTCATCAATCAGTGGCATATAAACAACCGAACCATCGCGATCCTCATTCACTCTCTTCTTACTATCAGTGTTTTGCAAACCCTCACTAATAAGTGGCATATAAACACCCAAACCATCACGATCCTCAACATCGCTACTTTTCTCCACGGATGCATCAACAACATCCCTGGCCTCTCCCATGAACCTTTCTGCGGAAAAGCTCCCATCTCTCTCAAGCACAACAGTGTTATCCCCTAAACTCCTAGTCCTAAGAGAAGCAACATCATCACAGGTAATCTTCTCTTCCCTTTCAATTTCGGGTATGTTGGTTTGGCCAAAACTCAAAAGGGTTCCTAGAAGAACAGCAGTGCAGATTAAAACCGGGGACGCCGAAACCAAAAGGGCAAACACAAAAGGAAACGATCTGTACAGAAATAGCAGGAAAAGAAGCAACCCAGCAAGAAACGGATGATTGCAAACTGATCTGTAACATGCTCTGTGTGAAATCATCACAATTTTCCGGAAATTAACAAGAATTTCCAACACCAACCCCATTTTTTTTAACTTTCTCAGTGGATTATGGGTATAAATACTAATTGCAGTTCCAATCTGTATGAACAGAAAATTAAACCAATCAATCAACATACTAAAAGCAAAAGCATAAAACTTGTAAATTAAGTAGGAAATAATCAGAGAAAAGAAAAACCCACCTCAGAGAACCAAATGGGAATTCAACGCGATCAGATGAAGATCAATCCAAAACCTGAAAGCAGAAATTGGAGAAAAAAATGGCAAAAGTTGAGATTTTTTTTGGAAGGGAAAGAGAAATGGAGACTGAGAGGGCAGATGAAAAACCATAGAAAGTAAAGGGCAATGGGAATCTCTTGAGCTTTTTCTTTTGAAGGAAAGCAGCTAAGAAAAGCTGTATGTATGTATGTATGTACCTAGAATTCTATATCCCCATGTCTGTGCTTTTTGGTATGTTTGATTTGATTTTTTTGTGTTGACAGAGAGGAAAATGGGGCGGCACAGAAAGAGCAGAAGAAAAGAAGCCTGCCCAGTCAATAAAGTCAAACGCAATCACGACACCAACTTCTTTGTCTGTGAAATAAAATACATAGCACATAACGGTCTGGCTCCTCTACATGGGGTGAACGACTAAAGTACGTGAGGGTTTGTATCAATAAAAATTAAAAGAAAAGTAATGAAAGTTTTTAAAAAAAATTAATTCTAATAAAAAATGATAAATAAAGGTGTAGTGAATAGTATCAGAGAAAGATAAAAATATGATTTTTCGTTAAAAGTGAACAGTACCATAAGTGTTTCGTTAAAACTTCCAAAAATAGAAGTACGTAAAGCAACTCTTTCGTACAGGTATATCCGTGCTATTTAATAAATTCTTCTTAGGCTTTAGAGAAATTTATGTAAGGTAGTTTGACTAGTTAGATAGTCAAGTACTCACCGTACTCCCACAAAGTAATATACTCGGATTTTTTAATATCATTTGTTACTCTCGCAAAGAAATGAATCTTGCTGTAAGTAAACTAACGTTTAACTTCACATAAGTATAACTTTTAATGCACATATTCAATTTATTGTTAGAGTTAGGCTGTCATACTTAAAATTTTCTCCATTTATCCTGATCGTCCATTATAACAATTACTTGGTGACAATAAAAAGTAATCAAGGGATGACAATCATAAAGTGGGTTTGGAAGAACCAAAGAAGTCATTCTTTGAAGCTAGTCAAATTACCATGCTCAAAGTTCTCTTGTGCACCTGTTGACCCTAAAAACTACCAAGCCTACGTGGTGCGGAGGCCGAGTAATTAATAAGCTAACTACGTCCTTTAGTTGTGTGCGGGATGTGCCAACTTGTCGGCCGAGTTCAGCCAGGGAGTAAATATGTCAATGTGGCGTTGGGCGCATTGCTGACTTCTTGATCTTGCGATTGCGGGAGGAAGGAACATGTCTCAGCCTTCGAGTTCTAGAACCTGAAAACAAGGCTGCTAGTTCTACGAAGTTCAATTTCAAATTCGGTTTTCAATGTGTTGAATGTAATAACTTGGTAACACTTCACTTCGCCTATAAGGCTGATGAAATAACCTCTACCCACAAGGACTCGGAAATCCTTGTTGATCGAAACTTGGATAAATAACCAATCGGCCTCGAACCAGTGCTGTTTATCCAAACTGAAGGTGCTCCTCGGTCAGTTGATTATACGGCTCTAGTGCTATTTATCCAACTGAAGATGTCGCCAGTTGCCTTCACAGTGCTATCTATCCAAACTGAATATGTGTTGGTGAGAAGAAAGGGGAGAGGAAAAAATCTTAGGGTTGTTGAGAAGTTTTGCGTAGGGCAATTTATGTGTTGATTTGAAGATGATTTGAATGATGCACTCCCTCTTTATTTATAGCAGCGAACCCCCTTCATGGCCGAACTAGAAATATACTCGGATTAGAACTCCTCAACCCAAACTAATCAGGTTTCACCCAATCCTAACCCTATAGGACTTTGAACTAGGCTCCATAACGAACTAGATTCATTCCCTAGTTCTAAGCATCTTCAACTTTAAGACTCCTTGTTGCACTAGGGTTCAAGTACCTCACCTTTATCTGAACCAATCCTCCTCACAACAAGAACTTGGCTGACCTTGACTAGACGACCCATGATAAGATTCTGGATGAATGTTACTAGGCCGAGAACGACTCTAAACTCGGCCCAAAATACTATTTTGGGTCCAAACAACACCATAATTTAATTCCCTCTATATTTCAAATTAAATTAGAAGACTTAATTTTGTGTCAAACTTATTATTTATGAATTCGAACGTAAAAAATCCGCTCATTTGTAAATAAAGAATATATGCTACCAAATTATAATAGTAAGTAATTCGTATTATGATATTCTCATTTCTTGGAGTTTCTATTTTACAGCGGCATAAGCATGTTGAAAATTTTATATTAAAATTTTAAGGGTGTGTTATCCACATATTCATTTTTACTTTTCACATATTTTTTGTTAATTTTTATTCATCTAATTTAACAATAAAAAATTATAAAATATGTATGAAAAGTAAAAAAAATGCGTATATATCACATCCCAAAATTTATTACATCTTGACCGCTCATTTGACATTTGTGATACCCGTATCCCTACCGTTGATCTCTTTATCATATTCACATGTCGTGGGAGCTCATAGTCTCTGTTTAACAAATTATTTTATTAAAAATTCGAATAAAAAAACAAATTATTAAAAAAGTGTTATAAAAAGGTCAAAGTTTGAGAGATAACCTTTTTAATGATAGGTGCAAGGTAGATGTAAAATGCCACACTAAAACTATAGCACAAGCAGAAATAGATGATGTTACTGATATTTTTCTCTCGTTCTCTTCTTCTTATATTTTCTGTAACTTGAAAACATACGGAGTGCTCTATTTATAGAGCAACTCCAAACTAATGCAGTTAATGCATTTTGAAACTTACGACACTTCCTTTGACAATACAATTTCTATGTATTTTCATATTCAACTTTCACTTTGCATGGGCATTGAAAACTTCTGCCTATGCTGAAGAATTCTGCTAATGAACTGTGGGCATTCATTGCCCATTAGACTTTTCAACAAAAAGAGAATGTTGATGGTAAAGCGCGTGTTTGGATGATCATTACATCCTCGGGCGGACATAAGTTACGAACGGCCTGATGGAGAAATTCTTTGGTCCAGATACCAAATCAGATGTTCCTACAAAACCAGACACACAAAAATTTCCCCTAACTTATCTTTTTGATTTTGCAAGATTCATTCGTCTTATTTGCTTCTTACTCTTTTCACATAACATTCACGACCCACCATCAAACGGAAACCTTCTCGATTGGATGGGGTATTTGGTGGCTCTAGGAGGGTTCGTAATGATGGGAGTAGGAAGTGGAATGGACGAGTGATGAGAGGAGCATATAGAGTTCTTGTTTGGACATGGGACCCCGTTTGTTACATCTTTTTAAAAGGGACTGGATTAGAAACAACGTTTATTATTTTAAATTCGGAATCGGAGTAATCTTTGTAATTTCGATCGACATTTGGCTACTCGTATGGTTAATTCCGGCGACAATAAAAGTGTAAAACCACACGACATTCGATCTATAAGTGTAAATCTTCTCAAATTATCACACGTATTAGGTATACATCATACTCTTTAAGGTTAATAATGATTGGGGAATGAACGATTAACTCCAGCTCAGCTCAAATCAAACAGAAAGTATCACGTATGTATGAATGGAAGAAAATTGATCATCTGGCCAACAAGGCAACACGATCCTTCTGTATTGCCTGCGTTAGGTTGATTTCGAAGAGCTCGCATCGTATTGGCATCTCCATCTCATAAAAGGGGTTCTTCAAGACGTAATCGGTGTACAATTCATAGATATGTTTCAAGAGACCTTCCATGTGCTGTGTCCCAGGCTCACACACTACAAAGAACTTTGTCCCTGCAAAACCGAAACTATCTTATCAAAAAGCACTATTTTTGCAATCCCATGCATTATTGAAAATTTCAAGTACAGGGTTCGCTTCTTGAACTGTCATGGGAGGGGGGAAGTGCAACCAACGTCGAACTCTAAAATAATGGTTCAATTCGGAAGGAAAAAAGGCCAAACCAGAAAAAGCAGACACAATTACTCTGTGAAAATGAAAAGCAAAAGATATTAACGCTGAAACAAACATTAACTTCGTGCTGGGGAAATCTCAGACCGGCAAATGGATCTGACTTGCCATCCAGGTTATAAAAACGCATCCGAGTGATGCAACTCAAGTAATAACAATTGTCAAAACGCCTACTACTATGTACAGTGTTGAATCTAGCATATCGTATTCCTTGTACTATTTGAGCCATTTGCTAAAATCTAGCATATTTTCTTCGCTGGAAGAAAGTAAAGAACTTAAAAATTCCTACATTTACTGCAAGAATGTGATGCGGGGAACAAGGGGATTGCTACATATGATGACTAGATTGAGGAAACAAACTGTTCATACATTGTTTAACCAGAACAAACAAGATCCTAATTGTATGGAAATCATTAACATGACACCAAATCACGTGGACCAAAATTCTCATTGTGTAATCCATCTTCAAAAATACGTAACCCCGAGACAGCTGTTGCCTAAAACTTTACAGACACCACCCTGTCTCAAACATTGAGGCATACAAAAAAACATAGAACTGTGAGGTGAGAGTGAGACAGTTTTTGCCTAATGACTAGACTGAGGAAACAAACTGTTCATACATTGTTTAACCAGAACAAACAAGATCCTAATTGTATGGAAATCATTAACATGACACCAAATCACGTGGACCGAAACTCTCATTGTGTAATCCATCTTCAAAAATACGTAACCCCGAGACAGCTTTTGCCTAAAACTTTACAGACACCACCCTGTCTCAAGCATTGAGGCATACAAAAAAACATAGAACTGTGAGGTGAGAGTGAGACAGTTCTTGCCTAAATCGTACAGAAACTGCTTATATGTTAAGAACGCCACCCTTAATACTAGTCTCAAACATCAACTCGCTCAATGAAAATCTTTAGCACTCACCTCAGATATCATTTTATCCCTCCGTAATAACTATCTGTCATTCACTACATTACAGCCTAAACTAATGCAATTCACAAGACTCGCTTCAAAGTTTAAACCAAGTAGATGAGGCTTACGAGGTTAGCAACAGATCGATCCCCAATTTATCTCTTCGGAACACAAATTAATCTCACCAGATTGAAAAGCTACAGAGTTGTGTTAATCTGACAAACCTCCTCAGAACTTCACCAAATTTACAGTTTACAATTAAAATGCTGGCTGCAATAGTTCATATGGATATCTAACAATATTTAACACACGACAACTATTTGAGTTACAAAATCACCTACATCATCTTTGCAGCTTGTTCTACACCCGCTTTTTCCAAATTCTACGAATGTTACTGAAACCCGAGTCCTACAATACACCGGTGTATGTGATGCACTAGTTTTATCAACAGTTAGATTGGAATATATAGGTTAAAGCACGCAAATCCAGTCATCCACTGAAGTATTGCATCCTATACACCACTGCATTGTCGAATTTTTTATTGATACCGATTAAACTAAAGTACAAATTCTTTGAAAATTGAAAAGATCAAAGTTCGAATCGTACCGGTGAGTGATTGAAAGCAATGAAGATCGAAAGTGTCAGCTTGGAGGAGCTCGATGCCGAAACAGCCTGATACTGGCGACAGCTGCTGAGAAATGGCGTGCATTGAGTGCCACAAGCTTGCAACCCTCAAGCTATCATTCGTGTCCATTCGTCCCGCCGACCCATAGTCCTAAGATTGTCCAAGCAAACAAAGAGACCCATCAAAATCGGTTAATTTCCTGTTTGGTTGCCGAGAAAACGGAGGAAAATAGAAGCAAAATCGAAGCTTTTGAAAGAAATCCTTGAATTTTCTTGAGAAACAAACAGAAAGTGAATTGCAAGATTTGGGGTTTTTGTTACCTTGTAGAAGATCAAGCCGCCTGATTTGTTAATGATGTAGAGGCTGTAAATTGCTGCCATTTCAGAGGACTATTTCGGAAAACGAAAAAGAAGGAAGAGGAAGAGGCTCTTGATTCAAAGAAGGTATTTGAAACCTTTGAAACCGAGGGTAGATCGGGAGGGAGGCAGCGAAGATTGGCGGAGGAGAGCGAGAGAGAAGGAGAGGCAGGAGTAGGGAGGTCTGATCGGGGTGGGTCGAGAGATTCAAAGGTGCAACCCGGGTCGCGCTTGGCACTCACTTCGCAGTTCGCCCCTCTCGGGTTTTTATTTTTTTATTTTTTATTTTTTATTTTTAACAGAAATGATAGAATTTCATTACATAGGTCCATAACTAACTACTTAGAATGATGCTAAATTGGTACATATACTCCAATGATTAATTTTTTGATATGAAGATAACAAGCACAAATTATAAATAATTTTAAATCCCTATACGATCATCACATAAATCACACCACTTAGAAAGAAGAATCCCGAGATTAATATGTCACATAAATAAACCGTGACATATCAAGCACCAAAACCCTCACCAAAGCCATCGCGAGACAGCGAGGCTCCAAATCACAGAAGCGACCCAAATCACTTGCAGAAGCAACATAGAACAATCAAAAAAACTAAAATAAAAAAAATAAAAGAAAAGGTGACGTGTCCACAATGGAGATGTAGATGCAATTTGGCAGTAGGCATGGGTAGTGGAGGCAGAGGCACGTGCAGAAATGTCAGGAGGTGTGCGAGGCCAACTGTAGTTGGGACAAACTCAGAGGGGTGGGGCGGAAGGAGATCCAGACAGAGCCACCAAAGTCGTCGGAACGCCACCATAATCCAAAAACCTGCATAAAACATGGTAGCACCAAGAGCCACCAGAAATTTCTCTGACTGGTGTTGGTCACAGTTATGGCAAGAAATAGCAGCAACGACATGGATGGTAGAGGGGTTGCCAAGCCAAGACCACCCACATCCTGCACCGCCATCCCCACCACCACCACGAACCCAAAGAGGACAAAACAATAGTTCCAAGGGTAGAGCCCTCGAAAAGTCCAAACAACCGAGAGAAAATTCTGCTGGCAAATATGCACACCATCACTGCTGGTGCCCAGGAAGCCGCCGCCGGGAATGCTCAATGTGTAACCCTACCCAGGAACCAAAAGCTACACGAATCCGAATAAATGAAACCTTAGGCATGACTGCCACCAACCAAGCAAGAAGAGCAAAAAACAAAAAAAAAAAAAACAAGTCAAATACCTACAAAAACAACCCAAAGACCAACCCAAAACTGCATATCTAAGCCCCAAACAAGGGAGGAGCCCTGTACGGCAATAAAATCGGGGAAGTGGGTCGAAGGCTTGCAACAAAGCCAAGAAAACAGGTTGCGCATAGAAGAGTAAGGGGAGAAGGTGCTGGGCAGACCAAGGAACAGAGAAAAAAGAGAAAGCAACGAGGGGATGGGGGAGGGGCGTGAAAAGAAAGGAAAAAATGTGTGGGTCGCAACAAGAGGACAGGGGGTAGGAAGCAAAGGGTGGAGAAACTAGGAGGAGGGGGATGCTAGAAGGAGGAGGGAGGGGCTGCCGCCGGCCCAAGCCTAAGTAAGGGACCGGCGGTTGAAGGTTTGAAAATTAGGGTTTGTGGTTGGAGGGAGAGCTTACTAGTTTATTTGCACAATCTTCTTTTTTTGAGGTTCATACCTCTCGAGTTTGAATTTGATCCATATGATCAATTTGATATCCAGCTTATTGCTAATCTAGTAATATTTATCTTTATTCATTGATTCGTGAGTAAGAAGGTTTTGAATTCGATTTTTGTGGGTGGGAAATTCGATTTCAAATTATTATAGTTGGTCATTGTTTTTAGTTTAAATTCTTCATCCCGTAATATAAATTCTCGAATAAGATGATGTACTCTAGTCCACACCCAATTTGATTTTCCATGTCGAGGAAGACTTACATGGCAACAAGTTCCACCATAACATCCTAATTCAATAATGTATTGACGTGTGAATCAAAAATTACAAAACATAAGTGGCTGCAATTCTCTTTAGATTGTTTGATAACAAAATATATGTGGTTGCAAAACTTCCCCAAGGATTAGTAAAATAAGAGAATTCGTGAAAGGTACTCCGACGCTGAAGACAATATTCGTATGAATATCTTATCAAGATTTTCACAGTGCATTGCTGATGTGGGATTCAAGGCATCACATTCTCGAAATTCCAATCTCAGTAGAAGTATTGATCTTTAAACAACATGTCAGGAAACAAAAGAAAACCTTTTCAGCCAAAGAGGGTAAAAAAAAAAGGAGCTGTAAAAGTAACTGTGTTAAATGTTTCATTACATAAGGTGAAATATCATAAAACCAAACCCTAAAACCTATTGCTCATCATGCAGCCACTTTTGTGCAGTCATTTGCAACATCTTTGCTGTCGTGCGGTTGTCCTTGTACCTTCTCATCGACGACCTCCAAGTTCGACGAGGCTGCTTCATCGCACGACGAGCATCCGCCTTCATCAGAGACCTCAGAACAATGGTCAGAAGCCAATTGCTGCAACTCAGACATGATTGATGGCGAATAAGCTGGCGAATAAGCTGGCGAATAGGCTGGCGAACAACCTGAATCGATAAAACTAGACATTTTCTTGTCATCTTCTCGCATTCTTTGTCCGTAAGCTTCATAGTCGAAACCAACTGAACTTCTCCCGCCAAATGTGGATTCCAACTTGTCCATGTTGAAAAGATCTTCCATTATCTTCTGGCTCTGCGGGTTGTCCGAGTACACAAACTTCATCTTCTTGTGTGTTTTCGGCTCAAGAAATGGTTTTACCAACTGCAATTTAAAGAAAGTTTCACCAGATTTTTCGAACTTACTACAAAGACGTTTCGATAATACTTAAAAACCAATATAGATCTTTAACTAAGCAAGCGATCATTTTAATAAAGATTTCAAACCAAATTAGGAGGAGCATTGTGGTCAGTTTTTACGCAGAAAACACAAGGGAAAGTATACGAGTACTTAAAGTCGATGTGATCTGCTTAAATCCCAAAACTGGTGACTAATGACAGACAATTCTAACAAACCAAGTATGCCATAAAACAGTTGGCAAGAGATTTTCGTCTTTAAAAACCTAGTTTGAGTTGTTTATTTTCGTCTTTAGAGTCTGCTGGCAGATAAATCTGGTTACAGAAACTAGTTCTGTGGCCAGATTATCCGCGCCCCGGTTTTTCTCTATAGTTTTCTACCTTCCCGTCCATGTTCTTCGTCATCCAACGGGCCCCGGTATCAGCTCTAGTCCCAGAAAATCCATAAGGAAACCCTGACCTACTATTGTCTTCATACCATATATATTGAACAAAACGTTAATCGTGAAGCTCTTGCTTACGTTCCAAGTTTCCAACATACCTCACTACACTAACCCTAATATCAAATGCAAAGAGTAATATCATAAAACTTGAAGAATTATTAGGTTTAGACAAGAAAACAATAACAATTGCAGATAGATGCGTAATAACATACCGTCCAAAAGGACTCAAATATTTTTGGTGGATTATAGAGGATGCCAATTCCCAATCTCTCAGGGTAATGATTTTGCAGGATCTTAGCTGTTTCCCTAGTCGCCTTCAACGATATGCTCGACGTGTTCCACCGTTGAAAGTCGATTAGCCACACCATTTGTTCCTGATCTGGATTCGTATTCAGTATGGCATTCTCCAGGCAGTATACCAAATACATCATCTGCTCGTTTACCGCATTCGTGTTCTGACACGACGAAAGAATTTCACAAATCAAACAGAAAAATGCTAACAACTACTAACATTAACGTAGACGCTTTTCGTGTGATTTAACTACCTGAAAACCAGGCCTCAGGATGAGAACTGTCCTTCCGCACTTGTCATGGTAATTGGCTCTGTAAATTTTTCCTGTCTTCGCTTCTTGAGTAATGTTTTCCTATATAAGATAAGAATAAATCACTTTCAAATGGGATTACTCCATGAAGTTTTGAAAAATAGACGGTTTAATTAGACATTTGAACTGCAAACAACATGCAACTCTAGGAGAAGGAACCGATATTTTTAAGATCCGTATGATTATCACCACGGCATTTTCATATTCATGGAAACACTACATTCGACTATTAATTTGGATTTTTTTTTTTTTTTTTGCAAGAACAATTTATGCATCAAAGCTTTCAGAAATAAACGGTTCAGATTTTTGAAAGATGCATGCACATTGCTTACCCATCGGATTTTCTCGGGCTTGAACTCCAACCTCCATTTTATGGTTTCTTTCAGCATCTTTCCCGCCTTCTTCGTATTCCAGTTCCGCGCTCTTAGGTACCTTGAGATTGAAGCTTCTGAACAAATGGCTGGTAGCCTATCCACAATAGGACCCATCATCTTCCTCACTTCATAAATCTAAAGAACAGAAGGGCCAAATTATTTCCTATGATAAAAGATTCAAAGTAAACAAAAATACTAGAACTTTACTACTTCATTGACGTTCTCAATCTCCACTACGTACAACTAACAAAGAGAAAATGATTTTCACATCATCCTGTTTATTTTTGCCCCTTGATTTTCCATTGATTCTCGTTTCAATCTACAATGCATGGACACGGTGGTATCCCCTTGTATCCCTGTGTCGTGTCTCTGTATCATGCCGTATTCTCTTATCGTCATACATCAATTCTCCTTGTTAATTTGACGTATCCCCTTATCGTGTCGTATTACCGTGTTTGTGTCCATACTTCATAGATTTCAATCCATATGACATACACAAACAGGGACGTGCGAAAATCACTTCCCACGAAACAAAATCTTATAACCTAATCTATACCTTGGCCAGCTGCTCTTCATGTGACAATGCTTTATCTGTTGTGCTTTCCCCTTTTTTGAACGACATCTTTCAAAAAATTTCAATGGAACTAAATCTTAACGCAATCGATCACCAAAAAGCAACTGCAAAATTCAAAACAAATAAGAAAAATTTTAAGAAAAAAAAAAAGAAGAAAAACAATGAGGACGAGAAATTGATCGATAAAATTGCAAGAAAATCTGTGTAAAGATTGAAACAGAAATAAAAGAATTAATACCTGTTTTGCCATTCAAAACTCAGAGCTCGTTGCAAATATCGAAATCAATATCCATTTAATATTTCCCCCATCTGAAAATTCCTATCACTCTTTTTTTTCCTTATTTAATAATAATATTATTATTTATAGAATGATGGGAAAGTAACAGATTTTGGATTCGATAAATAAGGGAAAAAACGAACAAAAACGTATTGCATTATCCCTTCTAATCTTTTCTTCTTCTTCTTTTTTTTTTTTTTCAAATTATTTTTTTATTTTATTTCTAAAGAATTATTTTGGCCTGAATTATTATAAATTAACCAGCAGGTGTCAGGTGAGAAGAAAGGTGAGTACGTGGAGGAATTGGAGACGACCGTTTGGGATGTACAATGGTGGACGGAGAGCAGGTTTAGGACCGTTAGTTGAATTTTTCCTCAAGCAAACTCAATATTACAATTTCTTCTCTTTTTTTTTAACGGCTCTTTTTCACCAGTGGCCAGATTTTGATAATCCAAAATTTAGTGACTGTGAGCTCGTAAGTACGTACACGCAACTGGGATGTCAAAATGATGGTTTATTTTGCGGTGTCATGTGAGTAATTAAGCATGTGACAACATAAGCTTGAAATACGGTTACATTCACATAGATTATCCAGTGACCAACCGCTAATTAGTCCAACACCAACATTGTCCCAAACTGAATTGCTTCCCTAGTCAAGCATGAGATTTTATGCAAAAAGCCTCGGTGTTTATAGGAGTGGAAACATTCATTTACATATTTATTTTGATTTGTAGAATTTCCTCATGGATTGACGTTAGGGGTTTCCGCTACTACAATACAAGAATAAGCTTAGTTCTTGTTTTGTTGCAAGCAATGTTTGAAATTTCTTCAAAACGGTCAACATTTCTAAGGAAATTTTAGAAAAATCAGAGAAAGATATGAAAAGGGACTTAAGCTCTATGTCAGAGAGACTCTTAAATTTCAACTAAAATCAACAGATTTTGTCGGTATTTCCGACATTGGTTAAATATCGACAAAACTTGCTAGAGACAAATATTATGATTAAATACTGAATACATAGAACTTATGGCCTCTAGAGTGCTAAACCCTAAACCTTATATTCCGGTTATGGCTCCTAACCAACTGGAGAATAAAAATTACAAATTACAAACTCTCATTATTGCATAGAATTACGGATAAATACTAGCCCGAAGCTAAATTAAACTACTTTGGAACAGGAGTCTGGGCTAACTGTTGAAGTTGATGAACAATGTGAGACATCCTGGGGCGCATTGATGGGACATGCTGTGTACAGGCATAGACGAGGTCGACCACCTTTTGAATGACACCAGCCTCCGGAATCTCAGGAGAAGAAACAGTTATATGAGGGTCCAGGAGATCCGGGTAGCGATGAGCCTGCACCAGAGGTGTTGCCCACTCAAAAATGCTCTGCCAACCCACCGAATCAACGGCCTGTGCAGGTCTACGTCCGCTCACAATCTCAAGCAGCAGCACACCAAAGCTATAAACATCACTCTTTGCTGTAAGCTCATTTCTGTAGACAAATTCTGGAGCAAGGTACCCGTACGTGCCACCAGCCATCACTGTCCTTTCGTGCATCACTTCATACGGCACAAACTTTGACAGACCAACCCCCATTAGATGTGCTCCAAAATCTTCATCAAGCAGTACATTACTGGCACGGATATCACGATGCACGACATGCGGTTTTACCTTGTCATGCAAGAACCTGTTTGACATATGAACAGGTGAACCACCAATTAAACACAATTCATTCTGCATCATTCAAATCCTTCCCATTGCATTCGAAGGTAGAAATGTACTAATGAAATAAGGATTGACAATTTTCAGCGAAACAAGAAACAAAAATGAGGATTGACAATGACGGCATAACCACCAACACTAAAGGCACCCAAGTAAACAAGCAAGGGAAATCCATATCGGAAATGTATGGCAAACATCCAAGCTAACACTAATGTATGAAAGCAGCCATGGGAAAGCCATATCAGAAACAAATGTTTCCGAAAAAATAGATGCGAGAGTCGAGATATATTCTAATCTAACCATGAAAAATCCCTAATAAACAATTAACCTATGCCAAATTTTTATATATTTTTAACAGATCTCCTTTCCAGGTGAAAAATTGCAACTCGATCAAAAGTTGAGGAGGTAATTTGAGAATTTCCCATTTGATTTAAATCTACACAATATTATGATTTCTAATTTACGTGAACAATGATAGTGACCTCTCGGAGAAATGAGAACTATCACGATCATAAGATGCCTTGCAATAGATGCAACAGAGATAAAAGATCTAAGTGAACAAATCAGTCTCAGATTTTAGATCTTTGTTTGACCGAAGACCAAGAGGAAAATTGATGTATAACTTACGCAATTCCTTGAGCAAGAGTTGTGGCAATTTTCATTCTCATGGCCCAATCTAAGCTTCGACCACCCCTAGGTATGTGGTGCAGCCATTTATCCAAAGGCCCATTAACTATGAACTCATAAACTATGAAGCGATCACCATGATCATAACAGCAGCCTTTCACAGCCACCAAATTTGGGTGGTGAAGCCTTGCAACCCTTCCAATTTCAGAGTAGAACTCTTTTTTCCTTTGAAAACTAGATCTCTTCAACCTCTTAACAGCCACCCTTGAGCCATCAGGAAGAATTCCACTGTAGGTGCCTCCTGTCTTGGCATCTCCCAGAAGACGGTTTCCTTCACTAAAGTTCTTTGTAATTAACCTTAGTTCCTCTCTCATGAAGACTTTCCATGATGGAGCGACTAATGCAGTTTCTGCTGGATTAGATAGTTTGCGGGAACGTCTGCGCTTCTTGCTACGCTTGTATGCAAGAAGCCAAATCACTACAGCTAATGTTGTGAAGAGAATCAACCCACTTACTACTCCAAGGATAATAAGATATTCTCTGTGGCAATGCATGTGGTAACATCTGTTCCCTGAAAGAAACAGGAGCAAAATTAAATTAGCAGGACAGATAATTCAAGATTGGAGTTCGTAATAAAAAATTCCAAAATATACCTAAATCAACCATGCATATAAAAGCATGAGACGTATTGCATCTTTCAGCCAAGAGAGACATGGATCTGTTAGTCACCAATATGCATACATCGACCGACCTATTGGTGTGGCAAGAGATGTTACTGCAAATTGACCGAAGAGGTTCCACATGAAAGAGAGACCCATTCCAATACGAAGTATTATCAGACCAATTCCAGCCAAGACCAATGGTAGAGTTCACACCTCTGCCTCCAACCCAGCAGCCACTGGTTTCAGCACATATAGTTTGAGCAAACGTAAGTTCTTGAGATGTTTTGAATGCTGCTAAGTTGCCATTATAACTTTTACAATGGGTTTCTGACTCATTCCATGGTTGGGGGCTTCTCATATAACCAAAGCACTTCCTCCTATTAGGTCCAAGAATCCAACCAGCAGGGCATGGTTCTGTTCACAAGCAATTGAACATAATATATTGATTATAAACGGATATAGACTATAATGCAATCTATTTTAACAATAACACCTTTCTATATTTGACACAACGAAACAGGATCAAAATGCTCACTACCAGCATGCTGTCAAATAGAATGCTCATGAACGCAGCTTATACGGTAACAATATATCCAACACCTTTAATTTCCATGGTATAACAGTACGCTGTCGGTTTTAGGAGCATTAAGATTATTAGTTTCTAGAGACAACATCGATACTGTCCCCACTTGGCCGCCTGCTCAATTTGTCAGGTGTGGGGTTTTATCACAAAAGGCCTTGGTGATAGTTAGAGTGGGGTAATTCTATTTAAAGGGCTTGTTCTCAAGCCTTCTGACCAATGTGGGACAGAGGAATTATAACACTCCCCCGCAAGACCATATAACCATAGAACCAATTGGCAATATGGGGAGTAGCCCAAGACCATATAAGCATATAGCAAACCTTGTCCATCACCGATATGGGACAGCTCTCAACACGCCCCTACATGTGTGGCGGATTTTCAAACCTACACATGGACAACAACTGGGTGATGTGGAGCGCGAGTAGCCGTTTGACTTCACACGAGGACGACCCGCTCTGATACCATAATGAAATTAGGGTTCCACCATAGAACCAATTGGCAATATGGAGAGTAACCCAAAACCATATAAGCACATAGCAAACCTTGTCCCTCACCGATATGGGACAACTCTTAACATTAACGGTGATAAACAATATTCCATCCTTCGAAAGGTACCACAATATACACAAATGAAGACTGGTTTTTGTTCAACTATTGTCTACTATCTACTCAAAATACCCATTTCCGCAAAGCGAAAAAGTGAAATTTCTATAAACAATTAGGATTTCTAAAGTAAAATTTAGAACTCGAGCTGAAAAGGGTTACTCACACCTTTACTTTCTTCTGTTCCAGAAGCAACCAAATACCTGCGAATCGGCTCGTTATACACCTAAACAACGAGAGTGTAGCTTTCAATAAGTGAATCCACAATGTAAAGCATACAGTTGAAATTAAAGAGAAAGATATTTTAAAAAAATTTAAATTACCAAACTTTTCTTACCCTTTGTGAATCGCATGCACCCAGCAAAAACCAAACAATCAGAGGCGCAACCAATTGCAGAGCAATCAGATTCCCTTCCATCAAACCCATTTTTCATAAACCCTAGAAAAAATGGTAAGTAGGTAAAATTTCAGTTTTCACATATCACAGCCCCTTTTCACACCACACCATGCTCTGTAAATTTGAGGCCTTTCACTTCAGATCGTCGTCCCAGCCCTACGCAGCAGCAAGGAAGTAGTTGTTCTTCCGAGCCAAGTCAATCTGTGAGCTTGTCCCTCTTTCTCTGCATTCGATTTAGAGTAGACAGTGGAAACACCCATGTACTTGTATACTATTAATTATTCCCTAGACTTTTCTTTTAGAAAACTAATTTTGTTTTTTTTTTTTTTCAAAGTCAATTTGACGGAAATTTCGTAGTTTACTCCATAGAATTTATGAAGCATGGAATAGGTTTGGTAAAAATGGAACCCAGATCCTTTCTGAATTAAAAAAATTTGAACCTAAGGATTAAATGATCCGGATCATTAAAATTTGATCCAACGACTATTATTATTATAACTTTAGAAGGCCCCATATTTGTAACCGTTAGATCAAATTTTAACGGTCCAGATCGTTTGATCCTTAAGCTCATATTTTTAGATCTTGGTTCGTAAAAATGCTAGTTGATTAGGCATATGAAGAATAGATACTTTAGTTTGGTCGTATATTTAGTATTTGATATTTTATTAGATACAACACTAGTTGGATACATATCATGGTCATATGATTTTGATTTGATAGATACATATCAAGGTTATACCATCGTATCGTATCACCGTTCATGCTTTATAGTATAGAATACAACCATCTAAAATGATACTTGTTAAAACTTGATACGTTATAACTAATTTCAATGCATAATTCATTTACTAAAAGAAAACTTTTAGTAATCAACCAAGTGTAAGAATTTCTAATTTAATTCGGTTTGTTGGGTAATAAAGTTAGCAGCAATGTATTGCCCTACTAGTTAGAATTTTATTGTTCAACCCACTATTTTCTAAGTTGAAATCAATTTCCGTTAAATTAATATATAATGTAGCTTGTGGTCAAGATTAGTAGAGAATCCGACTTTTTTTTTTTTTTAAATAAGTGATATTATCTACATTAAAGTATATGAGATGTGCAAGTTTCACAATGAATTAGCAATAATGTGGTTCAAATTCAGTTTTTATCGAGAATTGAATATAAAATATTTCACTTATAAATAAAAAAGAATACTATTATGCGGTAGTACTAAGTAGTAGAATCCGACTTCTTTTATTTCAAGTTTCAAAAAGAAAAATGATTTGAACACTTCACCCAAAAAAAAAACCTTCTACAGTTTTACCTCGTTGTGAGCCTACAGTAGAAAAGTGGAACTAAAGAAAAAGTACAGGAGTAGCCGAGTAGGTAGGTGAGCCTGAAATTGGTAGGTGAAGTTGTGGTAGTAAATTGACCAAATATAAGAAGTTGGAGCAGCAATAAACCCATACACAAATTCCAAGTAGAAGAAGGGGAGAGAGAGAGAGACAGAGAGACAGAGAGAGAGAGAGGAGAGGGGGAGAGAAATGGAAGGATTATACGGAGCAGTGATGGAGGAGATAGGGCGGTACACCGGACTATCACCGGCGGCCTTCTTCACAATCGCCGGGATGATGGTCGTGGTTTACAGAATAGTCACCGGCATGTTTGTGGGTCCCGAAGATTACAACAAGCCTCCGGTGGCGGCGACCATCGACACCGTCGATTCTGATTCCAAATCCAATTTTGTGAATAAATACTTCAATTCCTCGGGGGCGGCGAGAGGCTCGTCGGTCCAAATGGGAGACATGACGGAGGAGCAGCTGAGAGAGTACGACGGGTCTGACCCCAATAAGCCGCTGCTTATGGCTATCAGGGCTCAGATATACGACGTCTCTTCCTCCAGGTACCTTCCCTGCTTCTCCTCCCTTCTTTCATTTTGCACTTACTTGAAATTTACAAAAAACACACTGGGACCATTTGGTCTTTCATGCCAATTCCGTTAGAATTTTTGTAAAAAATGAGGACAGTAACTCGGCGTTTAATAGTAAACATAAAAATTGAAAACGAAATAGTTATCAAGCGTCAAATTTTATACTTACATGTGTTTTTTAGGCATGTGACACAGCACTCAATTTTGACGGAAATTCTTATTATAGTCAATAAACAAAGCTAACAAAAACTAAAAATTAAAAGGTTATTAGGCGGTCTTTTAGTAAATCTTCTAACTGTGTACGTTTGTTTAATCACGTGACAACTTGTGTTTAATTTGACGGAAATTCTTATTAACGTCAATGACCAAAGCTACACACTTAGTCAAAGGAAACTGATTGTCACACTTCGCCAATTTCCTCTGCATGAAGATAAAAGAGAGTGCAAAAATCACTTCCTTCGTCAAATTCGAACAAATTTTACGGATTTTTAATCCGAGTATTCAAATTTTATGGAGATATTGTTATTATTTATCCTCTAATTGGTTGTTCAGATTTTATAAAAGCGAACACAAACTGGCAATTTCAGTGCAAAAGAAGATCATAATTTGAAGCAAATTACAACATACAATGCAGGAACTTTTACGGACCAGGAGGACCGTACGCCATGTTTGCTGGAAGGGAAGCAAGCAGAGCGCTGGCTCTTCTGTCTTTTAAACCCCAAGACATAAACGGCAATCTCGAAGGTCTGGGGCCTGAAGAACTTGGCATATTGCAGGATTGGGAAGATAAATTCATCGAAAAATATGACAAGGTCGGGCAGCTTGTAGCAGAGCAAACAACTACACATACCGATGAGAAAACTGAGGTCGCTGCAGATGACGCTCAACTGCAAGCAGTTGGACAAGCAGAATAGAGGAGAGGAGAGAATAATCTGTCAAGACATTGCACGCGCTCGGGCTAGGGTTTCCTTCTACCCGAGCACAAATATGTATCTCATTTCCGTATTTTGTATAAACACAAGAAATGGTAACAGTAAATTTTAAATTTAAGTACAGACCTTGTCTCCTGAATCAGTGTCCGTTCGGCTCCTGCTGCCTTGACCCTTGCTTATTCATCCTTCTCGGGTTCGCTGGGAAAGTAACAAGAAAGAAAAGGGAGGATTAGGACTACGGAGAAAGAAAAAGGACGATTGGACAAGCAGAATAGAGGAGAGGAGAGGAGAGCATAATCTGTCAAGATACTGCACGTGCTCGGGCTAGGGTTTCCTTCTAGCCGAGCACAAATATGTATCCCATTCCCATCTTCTGTACAAGCACAAGAAATGATAACAGTACATGGTAAGTAAAGACCTTGTCTCCTGAATCAGTGTCCATTCGGCTCCTGCTGCCTCGATCCTTACATATTCATCCTTCTCAGGTTGGCTGGGAAAATAATAAGAAAGAAAAAGGACGATATAAACTTTAAAACACTAACCTTGAGAATGCATCAAATCAGATCTACTGGATACCAGTGACATCAGTGACTCTTGTACCCCAAGAAACCAAGAGTGCAAGGCCGCCAGCGGGCATCACTGGTCCACCAATCCTCATACGATTGTAATAACATAACAAGCTAATTACACCAGTACAACCAAATAAAAGATGGGTATAAACTAAAGATGAACGGAAAGAAATTCAACACCGAAGAGTAAAAATGAAAATCAAAGGAAACAATATATTAAGCGTCAATCGATTATGTAACTACCTTAAAAGCGACATACTTGATCTTCAGAAACTAACAAGAACTTTGCTTTTATTTGTACTAGTACTGTATTACTACTTACAAGAGCACTTCGGTTTATGCATACAATGATACCTCAGGAAAATTTCCAATATATGATACATAACCCGAATACATAACCAAAGCGTTCCAATTATTGTAATCTATCTTCTATCGACATGAATAGTACATTATCGCGGAGAAGAACAAGAAAAATAACGAATCAAGCATAGACAGATCATACAAATACTTTGAATGAGACATACTCTGGCCTCAAAAACTAATGAGAACACTGCTTTTATCTGCATGTAATTGTGTGGTTTCAGCAAACGGCTCCTACGGCTTCTCTGTACGTGCTTTGGCTTTTCGAACGGATTTCATGGCTTCTTCAAATGATTTCTGAATGCAAATGAAAAGCATGTCAGTGTCACAATGTTGGAATGATTCGTTCGACGATTTTAGGCTCAATTTCTATAAACATGCAATCGACGGATACCAACAGCATTATAAGGAGCAACGTACCTCATGATTATGCATCTTCCATAAGGAATCCCAGCCCAAATTAACAACTGCTATACCACCTAAGAAAGCCCTGCACAAAATTCATCTTCCAATGAAGCATTTCCAAAGAGAAATTTACCCAACATATTACACTGATTAACCAAATGCCGAATTGGGCACGGTTAAATGTAATTTCATGTTCACCTCATCGGGCAAATGTATGAGTTTTTGTCAGGGAGTTTTAACGAAACACTTCTGGTACTGTTTATTTTAACGAAAAAAATATTTTTACTCTAAAAAATCACTCTTGGTACTATTCACTTACAACACATCTTTGTCATTTTGATTAAAACTCAAAATTTTCAAATTATTTTTAGTTTTTTATTTTTATTTTTATAGCATAGAATATTACAAATAAACTCCACCTGTATAATCTTACGCTGCCAATCCCAAACCGGATATAAAAAAAAAAGAGGCAGTCAGGTAATGGACAGCCGTCCCTCTGTTTTCACAGCCGTTATATTTGCTTCAAATGGACTTAAATAAGCAATTCAATGGTAAAACTGTAAAATCAATCGCGGAAATTTACAGACAAGTGAATAGGAAAAAAGGATTACCCTACCCTGCGACGGAGACATTGAGAAGGAAAGCGCGCGTTGTGACATATCGGAGAAAATTCTCAAAGGCAGAGGAAGCTCCACTGGCGGCTCCGGAGCCACCGCCTCTTCTGTAACTATTACCACCACTATATCCGTAACCGTAATTGTAAGTGCGAGTGTAGGTATTGTAATTGTTGTGGGGGCGGTGCGAGCTCTGGAAATTGTAGTCGGCGCGCTTGCGATCGTCGATGAGGACCTGGTAGGCCTCGGAGACCTGCTTGAATCGGACGGTGGCTCTGTCTCTCTCCGCCTTGGGGGATGCGGAGTGCTTGTCTGGGTGCAGCTTCACCGCCAGCCTCCTGAACGCTTCCTTGATTTCGGCTTTGCTCGCGTTCCTCGCCAGCCCCAATACCTTGTAGTGATCCATGATTTCGTTTTTGATAATTTTTCTCGATCGATCAAATTCGGTTTCTTTGTAATTAGGATTCGATTTTTCAGTTGGGAATTGGGGATTGAGGAATTAGGGTTTATAAATTTGTTTCGTCTTGGTGAATGAAGGGTTGGGTTATTCAACGTCGTGGCATCGCCATGGCCGCTTCCTTTCTCTTCATGCTTCGCGGTTCGCGGTTCATTTTCAGGAGAAAATTCCCCTTTCCCCATTATACCCTCCCGAATTTTCTGTTTTTTTTTTTTTTAACAAAATATATTAACGGGGTGTATTAAATTGTGATTTTGAAGGATTTTGATTCTTTTAATGAATCCAGAGTGTTCAATCTGGATTTTAAGTGAATTTCTGAAATTCAATGTGTATTCAATCAGGATTTGAAGATTATTCCATTTAATCTTTAGAAATCCGGATGTATTCAATTAGAATTTTAAGAAGTTTATAACATTCAGCTGTATTTAATTAGAATTTGGAAAAGTTGAGGAATTAGATGGAATTTGAGAGATTTTGTAGTGTATTTTAAGCATCCACAAATCTCACATCTCCCCATGAGATTTCGAGGGAATTGAATCAAAATTTTACATGGAATCTCTACAAATTAGTTAAACTATATAAAAATCTATGAATTTATAAATCCATTAAAATCTCTCAAATTCCCAATTGAATACACCATCCTAAGTCTTTGTTTGCAATAATGTAGTTGAAAATCGTTTTGACGAGAATTGGACCTAAGAAATCTCGTTTATATGTAAAGAAGGAAAAATAAAAGGTTATTTTGATTAAAAAAATTAAAAAAGAAAAGAAAAAAAAAACAGGGTTTAATTACTATAGTGATCATAAAAGAATGCATGAGAAATGATGATTAAATACCTTTTTTTTTTCTTTTTATATATTCATGTTTTTTTGTGTTTATTGTTCCGTTTTCCTAAAAAGTGTGTTGTTTTCGTTTGACTTACTTGACGGTATATGTGAAAATGTGTCAAAACCTATCTTGAACATGAAGGTTATCTTTGTTACTAAGAGCAAGTCCACTCCTAAAAAAATGTGTCAGCACCCAGCCTATTTAATCCACTCAGTGAACAGCGATAGACCATAATGAACAGTAATAGGCCAAATGCATCTCTACCCCTAAAAAAAATATCCTAGTTAATTTTATTAAAATATTATCAATTTTTATTATAAAATAATAATTTGACTTTTAATTTCTGACTTTTTAATAAAATAATAATATTATTATTAAAATATTTTTAATTTTTGCAGCTCCACCCTTCTTCCTCGTTACTACTGCCGTCCACCCCTCCACTTCCCTTCCATTCCCACCACTGCCTCCAAACCTCCTCATCTCATCCTCCGACGTCGTCACCCTCCTGTCCTTCAAATCCCAAGCCGACCTTAACATCAAGCTCCTCTACACCCTCAACGAGCTCTTCAACTACTCTCAATGGCAGGGCATCAAGTGCGCCCAGGGTCACGTCGTCCACTTCGTCCTCCCGTCCTTCTCCCTTCGACGCCTCGCTAGCATCAGCAGCGTCAGATAGCCCGTCTCACAGGATTGTCAATTCTGGGTCGGTCTGTGACATCCCACATCGCCCAGGGGAGTGATCCTTATATGTATATTCCCATCCCTACCTAGCACGAGGCCTTTTGGGAGCTCACTGGCTTCGGGTTCCGTAGGAACTCCGAAGTTAAGCGAGTAGGAGGCTAGAGCAATCCCAGGATGGGTGACCTACTGGGAAGTTGCTCGTGAGTTCCCAAAAACAAAACCGTGAGGGAATGGTAAGCCCAAAGCGGACAATATCGTGCTACGGTGGTGGATCGGGCCCGGGAAGTCGTCCCACCCAGGTCGGGATGTGACATTGGTATCAGAGCCTAACCCTGGCCGTGGTGTGCCGACGAGGACGTCGGGCCCCTAAGGGGGGTGGATTGTGACATCCCACATCGCCCAGGGGAGTGATCCTTATATGTATATTCCCATCCCTACCTAGCACGAGGCCTTTTGGGAGCTCACTGGCTTCGGGTTCCGTAGGAACTCCGAAGTTAAGCGAGTAGGAGGCTAGAGCAATCCCAGGATGGGTGACCTACTGGGAAGTTGCTCGTGAGTTCCCAAAAACAAAACCGTGAGGGAATGGTAAGCCCAAAGCGGACAATATCGTGCTACGGTGGTGGATCGGGCCCGGGAAGTCGTCCCACCCGGGTCGGGATAGTGACACGGTCTATGGCCTAGCTTAGGCTCAGGTGAAGCAAAAAAAGGGGAGGCCAGTCCATTTTTCAAGCTGTGTACTAGCCTATTAGGCTGGGGTGGAACTGCTCTAAGGATCCTGGGGATTCGTGAATTGTGTCTATTTATTATACAACGTGTGGTCAGTTTTTATCAAGTACTATTTGTGTTTAATTTTAAATAAAAATACTTAAAATAATTTATAACCGTACGATGTACGATAAACAAACACGATTGATAGATCCCTAAGATCCTCCGGGTTCCCACATTTAACTCTCCCACAAAGCTAGCCCTCCAAACTTTTCAACCGTGCATTATTTTTAATTGAAAAAAAGAGTAATGCTATATTTACCATTTAATTGTATCTTTGGGTTCGATACTCATTAAAAACGAATTTGAACCACCTCACTCCCCCATCCCCTTAGTGTAAATACTATCTTTTTTTTTTTTTTTAAATGTATCATCTTTCTAATAGAGATAGAATCCGTCAACGCATGTGGATTCTATCTCTATTAGAAAGATGTTATAATTGACGATACAACTACATAATAAAAATATTTCAACAAACACAACCACATGGTAATATCAAGTGACAGTAAATAATATGGCCGTATATCTAAATTTCAATCAAGAAAAAAGTTTAGTTTAGTCAAAAGCCCAAAAAGGTAATTTAAGCAACGGAATCAACTCCAGGTTCTCCTCCAATCGACTCGGACCCGGTTAGCTCCCGTCATTTCCACTCTCTCAACCACCGAACAGAACAGGCGGATCGTCGGCGCTACTATTCCTTCCTCCACCACCGACTCAGCCGGCCCGGTAAGAATCTTATTTACCGATTTCTACCCATTTTTTCATTGTTCTTCGCTTTCAATTTTCTTTATTATTTATTTTCCTAATTCATTTGTGATTATGTTGGGCATGGCATAGCTTGATTTCTTATCTAAATCCTAGCTCTGAATCTCAAATTTTGTGTCCAAAATCCCAACTTTTGATTTGATGCTTTATTTTGTGTTCGAATTCGTTGAATTTGTTACTCAAGAGTTACAATCTTAGCATTTGTATGTGTTGAAGAATACAAGAATCCCACATCGAAAATTGACAAAATAAATTACAGTATGTAACGAATGCTTCCGATCCTAATGATACCGGGGCTTTTTTGTGATGAAACCCCATAAGTTGGTAGTTGGGAATGGTATCTGTGTGATTAGTAGTGGGCCGCTCGTCTGACTCTTTGAAATCTTGACAAAAGCGTCGCTGCCCCCACTGATGATTTCTCTCCCTCTCACATTGTGTTTGTTTCGCTTTCATGTTTGTTGGGTAATTCTTATTAGAATTGTTTTTGTGACTGGTTGAGATCTACAGGATTGCACATTCATTGACTCTGTTACATTTTCTTTTTTATCCGTTTCTAGTGCTTTTGGGTACTGGTACAGATCATTTGTGTAACCAGAAAGAAGATGAAAGGCCAAAGCAGTTACGCTCCACCTGCTTACATTCCGTTGGGAATGTCAGATTCTGATTCAGCGATTGTTTTGCGAAATGAAGACCCGCCCAATCAGCAGAACAGCATTGATGGGCCCAAACAATGGTCTTCTGGAATCTGCGCATGCTGTGACGATATGCAGAGCTGTACGCTACTTTCTGCCTTGTGACCTTGATTTATCAGAAGGAAAAATTATGAAGGTGCCTTCTTGAGTAGGGACAACAAAAATTAGCCTGTTGCCGTTATACATGAATTTTACGAGGATTCTTTAAGCAAGGCTAGGAGAGGACTTGAATTATTTAACTAACCCTATATGTTACTATGTGCTCGCCTCTTATTTTTTATGCATTAATGTTCTCTGAGTACTCTTCAATATATGGGGGACCTCTTTTACGTCTAAATTTGTGATTGGTATTCATTCTGTGTTAGTTAAAAGCCATTGCAATATCTAGATTTCAGGCGAGTAACCATGTGCGGATTTTTTTTATAGATCAAACAGTATATACTATCTCATCAAACTTGACAAGAACATGAAGAGAACAGTAGGTTAGAATAACAGAACTTACGAAGTGTACATTGATAAACTAACACCTTGAATTTTTCATGGACAAAATTTGGATAAAGATTATTAATAAGATCCATATATTGAGTACTTTAAACCTCATTTTAACGACGTGATATCCAGTTTGATGTGAGGTAAAGCATTGGTTGTTGGTATATACTCTGTGTTGTTAGTGGTGAATAAATAGATGATAATGTTTTGAATACGTTAGAGGATGTACATGGGGAGAGGGTAATCTGACTTTTTTTTTTTTTTTTTTTTTGGTTTATCACAATAAGTTGTAACATTTGCTTGTTAGGTACACAACCATTGCCAAATATGTTCGTAACAGTAGCAGGAGCTTCATCCATCATGTCTCCAGATAATGACTTTCAAACCAATAACGACCATCTGATTGCTGATTTTTTATTTTACAGGTTGTGTAGGTCTATTTTGCCCTTGCTTTCTGTTTGGAAAGAATGCAGAATTTCTGGGTTCTGGGACATTATTAGGATCATGCATGACTCATTTTATTTTGTGGGCACTTGTTAATACTGCCTGCTGCTTATTGACTGAGGGCCTGTTTTTTGGCATACCGGGATGCTTTGTTGCATGTTATGCTTGTGGCTACCGCAGTGCCCTAAGAACAAAGTATAATCTTCAGGTATAACATCGTTTTTCAATTTACAGCCTCAAAGTCTGTTAACTTTTTAAGAGTAGAAAAGTTTTGATTTTGTGCTTTTATTCTCTCAGTTCTATCTTGAATTTTGTTTTACTTTTCATCTGAGTTTCAATCTGCATTTCGACTGTTTGAGAAATAGAAATGATTACCAAAAATGTGATTGATTATTGGTGTAGAAGTTGGGTTTGACACGTTGATTGAGTGCTCTCATACAATGTTAAAGTTTGAGCTTCCAACCGCAATTCATGCCTGTGCTTGACACCATATATAAGGCTTACCACTCTTAAGATTTGAAAAAAAAGGTTCTTCATATATAGTAATGAAAGGCTTCAGGTTGCTGATGCAGGATTATAATATCATTAAGGGAAGATGTAATTATCATTCATGTGGTAGGGAATGTGACTTTATATTGTGCTCATTGGTGGAAAATAATGTATTTGATTACTTTGAAATATTTGTTTGCGGGAGGTCATGAACTACTCGAAACTTTTTGTGGGACAACTGCTTGTTCTTAATTTTTTTACTTCACTAGTGCTTATCATTTCTTGTCCTTGAATTTTGTAGGAAGCACCATGTGGAGACTTCGTCACTCATTTTTTCTGCCATCTGTGTGCACTTTGTCAAGAGTACCGGGAGATCCGTGAAAAGTCTGATTCCGGCGCTCCTGACCTGAGTCTGGCTGTAGTTACAGCCCCACCAGTCCAGACAATGGAACCAGGTCTCCAAAAGTAAACCACAATTTTAATACTCCTGTAGGATCAGCATTTGGTTTAGGTTATACAACCTTCTTTGTGCCCTTCAGTGGGTAATGTTATTGAAGCCTTACATGATTTATTTTTTATTTTCCCTTAACTTCTTTGGTCTGTACCAGGGTTGATTTTTTACGTTATCAGCACGATGTACTTTTTTCGCTGTTTGTGCTTCAACCCGGAACCTATGCTACCTTCCGTTATGAATTGCAGGATGAATATTATGGAATGAACAACAGTGCTTTTTCGGTGTTTGTGTTTCAATATTTCATGTTCTTTCGTTCGATTTCAGCTCGAATCAAACTGAACTGCACCACTTAACGGTTGATTGGTTGGGTCATATTTTGATGTTAAAACTGATTTCAAATTGAACCTTGTCTATCCTTATCTAACGACTAAAGGTGAGACATCTACGTGTTGTTGAAATGATTGAAAGTGCTTCTTTCAAGAAGCACTAATTGAAATGTTTTTTTTTTCCTTTAGATTTACTTATATTTTCACTAAGAATTAGTTTCAATAATATTTTTACCAAAAACGTTTTTAGTCATTTTAAAATTACTTCCAAACGAGAATGTAGTGTAACACAGCTGGTGTTTGTATTGCCTATGAAGACAATTTTGGAGTGGCGGCAAATAAAAGCCAAAAAGGAAAATAAATAATAATTTTTAATAATTACAAGGACGATTTAACCAATTTTTGCAAATTTGCAATTTAAGAGTGAAAAGAATATCCTCCCTTTATTTTCGAGCGATTCAACGTTTCGCAAAACCGGCAAAAATTGCCAGTAACTTTCAGTTCCAATCATTCTTTAAATAAAAAAGATATTCTGTTCAATAAATAAAAAGATATTCAAAGATATGTTTTTCTTAAGCAAACAAAGATTGGCATAAACTTTATGAGTAACAACCCTTTTTTGTGTGTGATTATCCTTTTTTGTAAAAGAGTTTATAAATTTCCGAGTGTAGAGTTTATAAGATTTTAAAGTATTTCATAAAACTCTATATTCAATAAAATATGATTTTCGAGTATTTTATAAGGTGAAGGATTTTAATGAATTTGGAGTGGTTTTATAGTGTTTTTTATTATTTTTTTTATTTATTGTTTTTTTGTTAAAGGTTTTATAGTGTTTTTTAGACTTTAAGAAATGAGGTCTCTCCTAAAATTCGAAATATTTCACTTAAAATTTACACCACATGAAATCTATAAAACTCCATTAAACACCATAAATTTATAAATCTTTTAAAACCTTAGAATTTCCTTCTAATAAATCTCTCTCCCCCTAATATAAAAAAGCTCTCTCTCCCACTCAAAACATATAGAAAAACTCGAACACAGCAGGGAAGTGAGAGAGAAGCAAAGAGGGGAGAGAGAAGGAACGGGAATGGGATTTCTTGGGAGTTCAACGATCCCATTGGGACTGGGAATGGGAAGAGTAGTGGGCGAGCATTGCTGGGAATGGGGGAGGAAGTACTTGGGGTACAAACTCTGCAGCGTGAAGGACTTCATGTCGTTGGCGCTGGGTGTAATCAGCGTCCTCACTTGGGGCGTCGCTGAGATTCCCCAAATCATCACTAACTACAAAGCCAAATCCACTCACGGCCTCTCTCTTGCTTTCTTGATGACTTGGATTCTCTGGTAATATTCTAATGGGTTTAGGGTGTAGGGTTTAAGAGGCGGAGTACAGTGTACTAACCAGCTAGTTTAACGCACGTCTATTTAGTGGTTACGTCAATGTCATTTCAAATACTTTCGAACACAAAACCTCGGTGCATGCATAAATATTATTTACCACTTGAGTTACAAGTGTTTTTATCAAACTATATCATCCAAATGCAACCTTGAAGTTCTTGTAGTTTATCTTTTGGCCAAATGACAAACTGGGATTGTGTTTTTCTACGATTTTCGCTTTCGTACGTCCTTGCACTTTTGATATTGATGTAAGATTAATTGCTTTGTAATAGTCCAAGAGTATCTCACTCTCACCAATCCATTTGTTCTTGATGATTTTGTATACTTTTTGAATTTTTGAATGTGTTTGGATCATTCGTTACATTATCAAACCGGAATTTCAATTTCTTATTTGGACCAGTAACTAATTTTATATCAAATTCTTTTGCAGAGACCTGTTTAACCTTTTTGGCTGCCTGTTGGAACCAGCTACTGTGAGTGTTTAATGTTTCATTGTTTTCATAGCTTTCGAAACTTTGTTTAAGGTTTTTAGCTTTTAATTAACGTTGGTATGGAAATGTATTATTCTTGATGATTTTGTGTCAACTTTACAACGAAAGCACATATGCAGTAGACATGTCTCCAGTGCTCGTTAGGACTTATGCGGTAGACATGTCTCCTTTAGACACTATTAGTTTCGTTAATTGCTGATGGGAAGACCAATACTTGTGACATGGCTTCAAAGAAGACGACATTTTGTTTTCCTTTCCGTTGGTGTGGTAGCGTCGTGTTTTCCTTTCCGTTGGTGTGGTAGCGTCGTGGTTTTTCTTTATGGTCACGATTAACTCAGGGACAAGTTTGTGTTGGTCTATCTCGGCGTTGTGTAATGCGCGCTCATTTGTGCAGTTTATATTCGTTTGGTGACTAACTGCCTTTGTATACTTGCTTGTGCAGCTTCCAACACAATACTATACAGCAATGGTAGGAATGTCGACTCAAGCTGCACTTTGATAACTAACCACATAGGTTTTTTATTAACATTTACTTAATGTCATTAACAAATAAGTTGATGTGCACTGTTTTCTTGGTATGCAGTTTTATACAGCAACCACATCAGTTCTTTCTGCACAGACCATATACTATCGTTATATATATCCTCGTCTTAAGTACAATTTGAAAAAGGTTAGCATCTGGCGTCCTCGTCTCCTCTTGTATATCTTTAGACACTCCTGCATGTTTTCTTTTATGTTCATTTCAAGTTTATAACTTTGGGTTTAGAGAGGTGTTCGAGTTCATCTCAGAGAGACTTGAATATCCTAATCCCTGAAGTATACAACAGTAGTATATAACTGGTGCACAGTAATTTACTTATGACCGGTATATTTGCTTATTAAACTACTTTCTGCTTGTTAATTTCCTTTTTCCCTTTACCTACAATCGTTATATCAGAAAGCAAGCGAATACCTCTGATGCACTAATCTGTAATTTAGGGTTCCAAGTCTAATCCGGCTGAGGTTCCAGGAAAAGCTAGTGGCAGGATTATTGTGATTGACACCCCCTCTGCAGGAAATGTTTCAAGTTCACCCATTCTTTGTCCCAATATTTCTCCCGGACGAGAATCATACTACATGTAACTGATTTTTCCCATCAGAGTCATAAATTATTCTCTTATAGTCTTGCTTTTAATAATTTAACTGATGGAGAATTCGATTTGGCTCACTAAAGCAAAATGTGCATTTTCTCAAGTGCGTCTACAGATGCTCGAGACTTGTTGATACTCAAGCCTCTCTGATTTTCATGATGGAGCTTTTGGTCAATTGCTCACCCTTGCTACATATACAAGCTTAAAAATTTGAAACAAAATGTTGCTAGCTGAAATAGTTGGCAACATTTTTAAAGAACGTCTGAAACAATAATCAGATGCATTCTGACATGAAATTTTAAATTTGCAGTGTAGTGATCTATCAACTTTTCATTGTTGACAATCATGATCATGTAATTGGATATCTTTTTTCTTATGAGTTCATCAGATCGGCAAGATCTTTATCAAGGAGTCACGCCTCTACAGAAGAATTTCATGCGGCACAAAGAACAACTCGTACATTGAATCATAATCGAAATCCCAATGAAGAGCCCTTGCATCTACACAATCTGCACCATCTAATAATGTCAAGACTACGCTATGTGTGGTGAGCTCTATACTGCTGATCGTAAAATTTATATTCTATCGTTCTAATATTGATCTTACGATGTAAACTTTTGTCTCTTTGACTTTAGGTCTCGCTGATGACCTTATTTGGCACTTTTAATCACCAATCAGTTGATTTAAGTGTTGAGAATCCAAATCGAGGAGTAGTGATGCAAGTAGGAAGATGGCTGTTGCAGGTAGTTGACATTCCAAAGTATTAATTTACTTCAATTTTATTACTCTTAAGATTCTATAGAGAACAGGTCAAGCAGCATTGTTCTTGTTGCACAGAGCACTAGTGTTTCCCATTAGACAGTTTATTGTTAAGCAGTTTTCGCTCTCGGTTGCCTCTTTATCTTTTCTCATCATCATCGTCATCATTATTTTTCTCAACTTTCGAGTTTGGACAAAAGGTTTAAGCTTGGGTCACTGTCTTGCTCATTATACATATTTTTTCAGTTTTATGATAGTTTTTATGTAGAAACCTTTCCAACGTGGAAGACTGAAAAATTAAGCTCTATTCTTTTCTGGTGAACTGCTATTTGAATTTCAGGTGAGTAGTGGGCTGCTGCGAGAAACGGGTACTAAAGATAGCAGTGAGATAGGAAGTTTCCTTGGCTGGGGAATGACAGCTATTTACATTGGCGGACGGCTTCCTCAAATTTACTTAAATGTGAGTAGTACCCTTAACAGTCGTTAATTTCTTACGTGTCTTTACGTATGTCATTTGTCTTCTGTCTCAGTTGTTTGAACAATGTTAACTTCTGGTTCTAGATCATTTTTTTGCAGATCCGGAAGGGCAATGTTGACGTAAGCATTTTCACCTTCTTTTTTCGGAGTCAGTAATGGGTGGAAAAATAATTAATCTGTGTTTGTGTTAGGCATAAGCTCGAGTATAGGGGTTATGAGTACCGTTGAGGGATATAATTTTCCTTTATAATTTGCAGGGACTTAATCCTTTCATGTTCATCATTGCTATTGTTGGCAATACCACTTACATCGCAAGGTGAATATTGCTTAATCCTTCATGGTTCTTTTTCTACTGTTTATCCTTTTGGTTTACAGCCATTTACTTTAGCGTAAGCTCGAAAGTTACTGATATATTTTCTTACCAATGTGGAATATTTCAAGTGTTAGTTTTAGTCCGTTTCACGAACGATTGTGGTTCCTTGTTGTGCAGCATTTTGGTGAACAGCATGGAGTGGTCGAATATCAGACCGAACCTCGCATGGCTGGTGGATGCTGGAGGATGCATGCTTCTGGATATTTTTGTATCCTTATTTTATCGTCGCTGTTTCATATGTTTCTTCGAACATGTATAGTATACTTTGTTAAATAGTACAAGTGCATTCACTTACTGCAAAGATTTGTTCTTATAGTTTCCTTCGAACG